CTCTCCCCTCTCCCCTCTCCCCTCTCCCCCTCCCCCTCCCCCTCCCCCTCCCTTTTCCCTTCTCCCGCCTTCTCCCCCTTCCCCTCCTCCCTTCTCCTTCCTCTCACCGGAGAGGGTCGGTAAAGAGATGGAAAGTATCAGCATGGCGCACCATGGCACCTACAACAATGTGAGTGAATAACTCCCTAGGGTCGAGCTCTACCAGGATAAAAAGGTTGGAGCTGGAGCTGCTTATAGTCGAAGAAGCGAAGACATTCAGGATAGGACGTTAGAAAGATCTGGAAACTAAAGCAAAGTCATCGTTCTCCTCTCCACCACCACCACCACCACCACCACCACCACCACCACCACCACCACCTCTTCCTCCTCCTCTCCGCTCCTCAGGTCCTCACCCTCGATCCAGGAGGAATCCGTCCACTTTGTCCGTTCTTATCCTTCCCCCCACCTCCTCGCTCTCCTCCAGGATCTTCAACGCGTCAGAACGTCATCAACATGGCGGCAGAGCTCACCACAAATGGGATCCCGCGCTCCTGCAGCTCCACTGCACAGGCAAGCCCTGAAATCCCTCCTCCTACTATCACCACCCTCTCCTCTCCTGCCGCAGCCTTGCACTGCAGGGCGGTCGCTCCCCTCCCTCTCCTTGGCGCACTTGCCGCATGGCGTAGGTTAGACGCTGTCCGGCCTCCTCCTGTACATCTTGAGCGCGTTTGGAGTCGGACAGGAACGGGGAGGAACAGGAAGGCAGTGACGGACTGCAGGGACAGCAGCAGCAGGACGAAGGCGTTGCGAGACGCTGAGAGAATCTGGTGAGGGAACGGCGATACGCAATGAAGGGACGAACCCATCGGAGATCGCTGCTAAAGAGCTGGCAAAAGGAAGCTGCGAGCGAGCGCGAGGAGGAGGAGGAGGAGGAGGAGGAGGAGGTAGGCCTGCATGACAACGAGAGTCAAAACAGCACTGGGCCTGACATGAAGCTCTCTGCTTCCATCACTCACTCACTCACTCACTCCTCTCTTTATCATCTCGTTCCCTCCCCTCCCCTCCCTTGCAACCTCCTCTCCTCCCTTCCCCGACCATCCTCCTCCCCCGCAGTGTCGTCGGATCTCTCAGGACATATAAAGGAGATCTATCCAGTAGAACGCAAAAATAAATGTGACCACCCACCTCGGTAAGAATAATAAAAGCTGTGGAAATTCAAGGGTGAATGACGGAATTTTATACCTCTGGTTATGGATGTTATCATGTTTTTCAAAGACAGCCCGGCCGGAGTCAGCTGCGCCGGGCACACTGTTCACTGAGGAGCCTGAGTCGAGGAGGCCAGGGCCGCCTGACCCCGGCAGGTCCTTCTCCTTCACCCAGACACTACGGATCACAATTACTTCACTCACTTCGGCCCACTGGGCCAGAAAGCCTGGGGTGGCCAGTGGCTTGCAGTGAGTGCCAAGACCGTTTAAGATCAAGATGGCAAGGCTGACACTGATGGCGACGAGTCTAGAGGCCTCTGACAAGTCTAGAGGCCTCAGGCCTCTGACAGTGCCGAGTCTGCCATCTGGGCCGCCTGCCACGTCCCAAGTTTCGAAGCCGAGAGACCATCTACGGTTGTAGTTTCTCTGTTCGCATCCGCCGGCCACTAAACTCGGAAAACACAGCGTACAGTCCTACAGGAGGCCACCAGTGCTGATAAGTAATGATGGGGGAGGAAAGACTGCTGGGCTGCTACAGTTGCGGTTGGGCTCCGTTGCCAGGTGGGTACGAACTCAAGCAAGAAATGAGAAGTTTTGTGAAGAGATCCACAAAATTTGTTTATTGCAGCACTCAGTGTCGTTAAATCAGTTTGTTCACTCGAACATGAAGCCTCGTACAACTCTCCACATGCTCTAAGGCTTCCTGGAACCAATCCTGCGTTGTGAAGCTGCCCTGGAGCAACGATTCTTCTTGGTGCTTGTGACCCTGCAGGGATTTCTCTGGGCTCGGCAGCGAGGGGACTAACACAGTGGGAGGATACTTGCAGCCTGTCAGCTCTGGGCTGATACTTGAGTTGTGCTGTACATTGAAAATTTTTGGTCGGATTCGTGAGTAAGGCCACTTCTTGATTCCCAATCTTCTACAGACATGCTTCATCGTCGTGGTAGAAAAGCCCTACATGAGGAATGAGTTTCAAACGAGACACAGATCATCAAAAGATGATTTTCACCAGCAAGTCACAAGCCTCCTTCTGCCTCATGACGAAGAGGCTGCGGACATCCTCCAAGGTCAAGTTTCTTGTCTTGTGGTTCTGACTTGCGCGTTTCTGTCCACTTACAGATGCCATTTCTGTTGTGTCTGCTTTTGCTTGCACTAGGTATATGTCGGGGACGATGATGAGCAGGTAGAGGCACAGGGGGTGAGACTGATCTTGATAACGTTGCTCAAGGGGGTGGAGGGCTCCAACTGTCAAGGGTAAGGGGAACAATGCGTAAAGCGATTGCTCCGAGTAAGTTGCCCATCATCTTGTACCCGGACGGGCAGTAAAGACCCGTATCTCATTGAAGCGGTGTGTTCCTGGCGTTGCTGTGTCCGGGGAGACGTAGTTAACCGACGTAAGTCAGCGATGTAATCAGTTGGATCATCGGATTACCCCGCGGGCCCGGGCCCGAGTGACCAGGCGGTTGCCGTGTCATAGAGTAAAATTACTTGTAGCGAATTCAGTAAAAATTAGGGTCGAAGAGGCCGCCATCTTTTACTCAAAGTTAAGTTAAAAATCAGTACGGTACGAGGACAGCAAGCGACCATGCCGCTACATCAACTCATAGTGTATACAGTATACCTCTGCTCCAGCTCAACTTGCCTTTGAGCCCGAGTAGTTTCACCTTGCGCCCCGGGACTGATATGACGATTAATAACCATGACGTTCGATGCTGTCACACCCCGAAGCTTTAGGGGTTTCAGACATCTACAGCGAATGCTCGGCAAGGCACCTTCGCTGGATCACATCATCAAGGTGTAGGGTAGAAGAAGCAGACCCTTCTAGCTTTGAAGGCTGATCCTTATATAGGCTAAAAGAAGCAAAACGGGTTAAGCCTCCATCGAAAGGAAGCATTGCTCTCTGCTTGACAAGATTCACACGTCCTCTTCAGCTTGTAAGCCACCACACGGGTACGCTCTTCCTGCGACGACGACCTCGAGAGAGGTCCTTTTCAGCAGATTCACACTGGAGTAGCGTATCCTGGGCTATCCAGGAGAAGTCAGCTTCGAACGCGAGTACCAGGTAGAAAACAACTGACCTTTCGTTTCGGTAAACCTCTGTCTGACTCGGGCGCGGATCCTATGAGCTCTGACACAACGGCAGAGCAGGTTCCGAGCTGTCACTGATGGCTGGCGTCACATCAGTCCCGAGGCTCAAGGTGAGATGGGTGGGCAGCAAAGACCCCGGGCAAGCTGAGATGGAGACACAACATGGGTATGCAAGCATTGCATTCGTCCTCTTACTCACATCCCGACACACCCTCTCTACCTCGGAGGAGTCGCCCTCGGCCGCAGCTTGGAGGAAGGTGCGGCCCGGCTGCACTGTACATAAGCGAGCTTCTGGCACTGACAAGAAGCAGGGGCATAGCGGACGAGAGGACGAGAGGACGAGAGGACGAGAGGACGGGAGGACGGGAGGACGAGACGACCAGACGACGAGACGACCAGACGACCAGACGACGAGGATCACACGAGGCAAGCGCAGCCGTTGGCATGCCAAAGGACAGGAGGCGCTCTCTGCGGGGCTAAGGGATGGGCTCAATGCCGTCCACCAACCATGGCGGAAGGGAGCAATTCGGAGAGGTTCATGGGGGACAGGGTGTAAGGGGCAAGGAGGGGTGGAATAGAGGTGATGAAACGGGGTGGGGGTATACCGCTATCTCCAATCACGACAGCAGCCGCAACTGGCAACCGACACTGATATCAAGTACTCTCAGCAGGGTGCGGAGGGGGGTGGGGGAGGGTGGGGAGTTGTCAAGTTTACTGGCACATATGCAAGGCTAGAGATAGAGTAGGAGGGAGGCAGTGGTGGTATATCTGCAGTAGCAGGGGAGAGAGCGACAAGGTCGCTTGCAGCAAATCAAACACTCTTGCTGAAAAGAACTTGTGGCGATCTGCTCTCTCTGTTTTTACCTTGCTTGCCTTTTTGTTGCTGGGGGGGGGGGGGGGATAACCGCCTGAGTTCGAGCCCGGCGGACCCTGCCCGGCCCTGGTGGTGACCGTGCCACGACGGTGACACCACCCGGTGACCGGACCAGTCACGGCGCCCGCCGCGCCGCCACGCCTGACTCAGTGAGTCTGCGGCTCGAGTCGGCCCGGCCCGGGTGACGGACAGGGCCGGGCGGCCGCGCCCGGGGCACGCCCCACCCGGCCCAGTCCATCGGCCCAACATACTGGCCTGCGACTGCCCCGACTCTCCTGATTGGGCCTCGTACTGATCTTTAACTCAACTTTGAGTAAAGACTCTCACGGGCCCCACCAAGGCAGGTCACTGTGACATGATCATCGCCGTCGGACATGCGATGGATCACAACGGGCCCCCATCACACCCCGAGGCCGCAGTTTGCACGACGCCGCCGAACCTTCAGCGTAGCTCACCGCCGGGCCGTCAATGCGGCGGCAACAAGAACTTCGAAACTTGCCCTGGACTGTCTCTACTAAGAGGAAAGCAGTGTGACAGGAGGACATCTATCTCTCTTTATTCTTACACCGTCACAACAAACAAGACAAGCCGACACACACTGGTGTGGCACTGGGGCAGCAAACAGACGTGGCTCACACACACGAGAGGGGAAGATGACCGCCTGGCCTTGACGACGATGGTTTCATAGCTTGGAAGAACGAGGTAGGAGTACCGTCTCTGGGCTGAAAGAAGTAGGGGTGTTGTCTCCTTGGAAGCTGACAAGTGGTCTCTCTCTCTCAGGCAAGAAGAGCCCCGTCCTCGCACGCAAGCAGGCAGCTTCCAACGGGTTGCACTTGACAAGATTCACACGTCCTCTTCAGCTTGTAAGCCACCACACGGGTACGCTCTTCCTGCGACGACGACCTCGAGAGAGGTCCTTTTCAGCAGATTCACACTGGAGTAGCGTATCCTGGGCTATCCAGGAGAAGTCAGCTTCGAACGCGAGTACCAGGTAGACAACTGTCCTTTCGTTTCGGTAAACCTCTGTCTGACTCGGGCGCGGATCCTATGAGCTCTGACACAACGGCAGAGCAGGTTCCGAGCTGTCACTGATGGCTGGCGTCACATCAGTCCCGAGGCTCAAGGTGAGATGGGTGGGCAGCAAAGACCCCGGGCAAGCTGAGATGGAGACACAACATGGGTATGCAAGCATTGCATTCGTCCTCTTACTCACATCCCGACACACCCTCTCTACCTCGGAGGAGTCGCCCTCGGCCGCAGCTTGGAGGAAGGTGCGGCCCGGCTGCACTGTACATAAGCGAGCTTCTGGCACTGACAAGAAGCAGGGGCATAGCGGACGAGAGGACGAGAGGACGAGAGGACGGGAGGACCAGACGACCAGACGACGAGACGACCAGACGACCAGACGACGAGGATCACACGAGGCAAGCGCAGCCGTTGGCATGCCAAAGGACAGGAGGCGCTCTTTGCGGTCAGACGCTAAGGGATGGGCTCAACGCCGTCCACCAACCATGGCGGAAGGGAGAAATTCGGAGAGGTTCATGGGGGACAGGGTGTAAGGGGCAAGGAGGGGTGGAATAGAGGTGATGAAACGGGGTGGGGGTATACCGCTATCTCCAATCACGACAGCAGCCGCAACTGGCAACCGACACTGATATCAAGTACTCTCAGCAGGGTGCGGAGGGGGGTGGGGGAGGGTGGGGAGTTGTCAAGTTTACTGGCACATATGCAAGGCTAGAGATAGAGTAGGAGGGAGGCAGTGGTGGTATATGTGCAGTAGCAGGGGAGAGAGCGACAAGGTCGCTTGCAGCAAATCAAACACTCTTGCTGAAAAGAACTTGTGGCGATCTGCTCTCTCTGTTTTTACCTTGCTTGCCTTTTTGTTGCTGGGGGGGGGGGGGGGATAACCGCCTGAGTTCGAGCCCGGCGGACCCTGCCCGGCCCTGGTGGTGCCACCGTGCCACGACGGTGACACCACCCGGTGACCGGACCAGTCACGGCGCCCGCCGCGCCGCCACGCCTGACTCAGTGAGTCTGCGGCTCGAGTCGGCCCGGCCCGGGTGACGGACAGGGCCGGGCGGCCGCGCCCGGGGCACGCCCCACCCGGCCCGGCCCAGTCCATCGGCCCAACATACTGGCCTGCGACTGCCCCGACTCTCCTGATTGGGCCTCGTACTGATCTTTAACTCAACTTTGAGTAAAGACTCTCACGGGCCCCACCAAGGCAGGTCACATGATCATCGCCGTCGGACATGCGATGGATCACAACGCCGTGACGGGCCCCCATCACACCCCGAGGCCGCAGTTTGCACGACGCCGCCGAACCTTCAGCGTAGCTCACCGCCGGGCCGTCAATGCGGCGGCAACAAGAACTTCGAAACTTGCCCTGGACTGTCTCTACTAAGAGGAAAGCAGTGTGACAGGAGGACATCTATCTCTCTTTATTCTTACACCGTCACAACAAACAAGACAAGCCGACACACACTGGTGTGGCACTGGGGCAGCAAACAGACGTGGCTCACACACACGAGAGGGGAAGATGACCGCCTGGCCTTGACGACGATGGTTTCATAGCTTGGAAGAAGGAGGTAGGAGTACCGTCTCTGGGCTGAAAGAAGTAGGGGTGTTGTCTCCTTGGAAGCTGACAAGCTTCCCTCTTACTTAGAAGTTGAACACCCGATGAGAGCTTGGAGAGGAAGCCTTGCTCTCTCTCAGGCAAGAAGAGCCCCGTCCTCGCACGCAAGCAGGCAGCTTCCAACGGGTTGTGCTTGACAAGATTCACACGTCCTCTTCAGCTTGTAAGCCACCACAGGAGTAGCGTATCCTGGGCTATCCAGGAGAAGTCAGCTTCGAACGCGAGTACCAGGTAGACAACTGTCCTTTCGTTTCGGTAAACCTCTGTCTGACTCGGGCTCGGATCCTATGAGCTCTGACACAACGGCAGAGCAGGTTCCGAGCTGTCACTGATGGCTGGCGTCACATCAGTCCCGAGGCTCAAGGTGAGATGGGTGGGCAGCAAAGACCCCGGGCAAGCTGAGATGGAGACACAACATGGGTATGCGAGCATTTCATACCCATGTTGTGGAGGAGTCGCCCTCGGCCGCAGCTTGGAAGAAGGTGCGGCCCGGCTGCACTGTACAGAAGCGAGCTGCTGGTACTGACAAGAAGCAGGGGCATAGCGGACGAGACGACCAGACGACCAGACGACGAGGACTACACGAGGCAAGCGCAGCCGTTGGCATGCCAAAGGACAGGAGGCGCTCTCTGCGGGGCTAAGGGATGGGCTCAATGCCGTCCACCAACCATGGCGGAAGGGAGCAATTCGGAGAGGTTCATGAGGGACAGGGTGTAAGGGGCAAGGAGGGGTGGAATAGAGGTGATGAAAGGGGGTGGGGGTATACCGCAATCTCCGATCACACTACTACTGACTACTGACAGCAGGGTGGGGGGCAGGGGGGGAACTCCGGAGAAGGGTGGCAGGGGTGGCAGTGGTGGTATATATACAGTAGCAGGGGGTAGGTTGACAAGGTCGCTTGCAGCAAACCCAACCTTCTGAGAAGAAACCTTGGCGATCTGCTCTCTCTGTTTTTACCTTGCTTGCCTTTTTGTTGCTGGGGGGGATAACCGCCTGAGTTCGAGCCGCACATAAAAATTTTGTTGACCGGGAAATTGATGATTGCCCGGAAATTGATGATTGCCCATTTCCAGGCTTCAGTCACTGAGCCTGTCGCGGCCCGGGACAGTGACAGTGTCGGAAGGGCCCCGAACTTGAAGCTATCGAAAAGGCAGAACTCTACGATCTACTCAGGGATTAGTAGATAGAGGAATAAGAGATAAGGGCAGAAATAAGAAAAGATCCGGCTCATGGCGGGGGGGGGGGGAGGCCAGAAGCCAGTAAGGCGAAGGAGAATGGGGAGACGAGGCGGGATGATGATGATGATGATGATGATGACAATAGAGATGGAGGAGGAGTTGGTGGTGATGATTGAGATGATGATTGAGATGATGATGATGATTCAGATTATCATGATGATGCAAATGATGGAGACGATGATGAGACGGAGACGGAGAGGCTTGACAGCAACTTGTGATGTACTTGAAGGCATGATTGCGATTCTCTTTGCCCTTTCCAATGATGTCCGGGTCTTTTGAGACCGATGATCTTGTTCTTGTCTTCATGATGGATCGTGGTTTCGATTACAAACATCAACTGATAGTGCCCAGGCCCGTTTATCTCTGCCGTCAGCTCTAGGTGCGATACTCTGAGATTGTTCCAGCCTCAAAAGGTGCGTGAATGGAGGAGGAGGTGGTGGTGGTGGAGTGGCGATGTAGATGATTAAGATAATGATGTTCGAGCTAATAATGACGACGATGAAGGTAAGGATGAAGGTATGATGGGGATGGGATGGAGATGGAGATGAAAATGTGGAGATTACAAAGGAGATGACGATTCTCCGCAGTTTTAACCATGGCAAAACAGATCCGATGAAAACAGTTTCTTGACAGCATGGCGATGGGTGTCAAGATATGGATCTGGTGTTTAAAAGCGATGATTGCTTTAGCTCTCTTTCCCTCGCATGACAACTCAAGAAGTTGCAACGTAGCGGGGAATTCAGAGGCGCCGCAAAGGTCGATTGAGCTAGCTCTTCATGGAGGGACGCGCCTATGGCTACGAGGCGGAAGACCAAGTCACGATGAGAGTGGCAATTCGGACACAGGGAGGAGATTGAAGAAGACAAGGACGAAGTCGAAGGGAAAGTCTGTGAAGACCTTGACGAGAGTGAAACACAGTGCCGCTCCGAGCTCCAACACAGAAGAGACTTCCATCTCAAAAACTCAAGAGATGCGCCTGCAGCGATTGCAGAAGGTTTCGGATCAGGCCGTTCCAAGTAGTATGAGCCCTCTGACTTCAGAGATGCACAGCAAGATCGATGTTCTCCGGTCAGCCATGCTCGCCAAGGACAAGAAGATTGTATCCAAAATCATGTCAGAGATCGGAGAATTAGCTCGCAAGCACTATGCAAAGAAGATATGGGACGTAAAACAGCTTACGACTGATGGGTTTGCGATAGGGGACAGCAGGAAGTTGAGGAAACTGCAGCATTCACTGACGGCTGTGAGCAAGAACACGATTCATTACAATGGGACGGGGTCAGTCATCAGGCAGATACGAGAGCAGGCGGAGGTAACAAGCGCCACTCCTCGATTCTCATGTGCTTGCATGGTATCAATGCGTTTCATGCTTGCAGGCTCTTTGCCTCCCGAATCCTACTGACCAAGTCTTGGGGATTGATGAGGTCGAGCAAGAAAGTGGAACTCTCTGCAAGATGTAAACTTTTCATGCAGTTTACTGAGATCCGATACGCGCTGGAGCAAGCCAACGAGACAAGGTGCTGCCTCCCATACCCTTACTCCCTCCTCCAATCGTGAAAAATCAACAGAGAAGCTCCGCTCCATGTGAAGACGAACAGAGAACTTGCCAAGTACTGCAAGGCAAGCTGCACACTGCCAACGACGTTCCCCCAGTGACCTCGACTGCAGACGAACATTGGAGATATGTTGGTCAGCGAAGACGTGGCCGTGAAGTGGTGGCTGGAGAAGAAGAGAGAGAAGAAGATGCAAGAGAAGGCAAAACAGGTCCTGTCACTCGTTCTCTTGTTGAGATGTCTCATGGATACCATGGACCTCCAGGCTGCGATCAGGGAAGAGCTCATGACTGAGTATGCTACCGCGTACTACGTCATGTGCAAGCAGCTGGCAGATGCCAAGGGAAAGCCATTCGACCCGATCAAAGTCAGTCAAAGACTCCCCGACGCTCTGACGAGTTTCTTGACGTGACAGCCGTTGACAGGCTGAGGAGATGGCGATCACTCATGCCCGGCAAAAGTACGAGATCCAGGTAAAAAGGAGGAAGCTTCGGTTGGGATCTTTTCATCCTGACACTTGAGTTCCAGCCCTTGAAGCAGAGGAAGAGGGAAATCCACGAGGCAGCAACATCAGTGAGCTGCTTATGAAACTCCTCCCTCTCCCTCTCCCTCTCCCTCTCCCTCTCCCTCTCCCTCTCCCTCTCCCCTCTCTCCCTCCCTCCCTCCCTCCCTCCTTCATAACTGCTTCTTACCCTCTGCTGCAGAAAATCTGCACTCCCATGCTGGTGAAGCCCAAGGGCAGGAAGAGAGTGCGATACGCAAAGCGCAGAGGTAGGGAGATAGCGAGAAGGAGGCTGAGGGATGACAATGCGTGTGAAGGGCCAAGGAGAAAGCTGTACAAGAAGCCCAAGAAGCGGGTGGTGGGTTGACTGCTGCTGTGGTCACTTGCGCTGACTTCTTATGACAGTTGTCACGGCACAAGAAGAAGATCAAGGTTGCACGTATGTTGATGGAAGAGGAAAGACTGACAGCCCCACTCATAGAAACGGTGAAGATCGAGTCAAAATTAACTTTAATCATGCTTCACTTCCATTCTGGTTGAACCCCGGAATTCGAGCGGGAGGAGAGGGCTTTCTATCGTGCATCCTCGTCAACGTGTCGCAGCGCCGGATGTTCTCAGCAAACATGATGTCTTCAGTCGTGTTATGATTGACAGAGTCTGTCTCCAGTCGTAGATGCTTTTCCCTCCTGTCTGTCAGCTGATTCGTTTGCGGTGGGCGGTTGTGCTTGCTGATCTCTAAGAAAGCGTCGAAAACAAATGCCTCGTCCTCCTTCTCACATCTCTGTATAGCATCCTCCAAGTACTTCTCAAGGCCAGCCTTCCTCTCATCTACCGTCGCTTCTGACATGCCTGAGAACCATCGTTTCGGAGGGAACTGCAAGTCGGCAAACGACTTCGGATTGATCTGGACGAGGCGGTCCCTGAACTCCCTGAACTCGTTGTAGCGATGCCAGACCTGCCACTTGAGACTCGGGTGCGACCCGTGGGCGGACAGCGAGCAGATCACCTCGTAGGCTACGAAGTGCTGCATCGCCTTTGTCCTCATGCAATGTGTCGATCGAGCTTCTGACTTGATGATGGCCACTTGCAGGCGATGGATGGTGTGTGGGTGACAGGTTTCTGTCGAAGAACGACTTGGAACAGCAGAACCTCCTTCTCTGTTCGGCATCCTCTACCGGATGTATCAGCAAAGAAAACTGCAAACACACAATGTCAACAAGTTACACCTTCATGACCATTCACTGTGTCATCACTTGTCGCATAGAACTCATCGAAACCCACTGGGCAAACTTGAAAGAAGCTTACATGTATCATTCTCATGTCTTCCCTTGCAAGCTCTGTCGTGCGCTCCATGCCCCTCTCTCCCGCTAGCAAATCGTTTTCTGAGATGCTCCTCCTCCTTCAACCATCTTCAACTGATTACAGCATCGAGCTCCTCCTGGTACTCGAGATCTTCCTCCTACTTGTCCCTTCCCAAAAACTTCTATCCCTGACGCTAACCGCCTATTTCTTCATTGTCTTCCCCACGTGGTGCTATCCTTCCTGTCGCAACCCTCTGCATAGTTGTCCCTTCCCCATCCACTTGAACTTGATCTGCCTCTCCCTCCCTCCCTCCCTCCCTCACCCCTTCGGCCTCTGGTTCCCTGCGACATTCGCTTCCCTCCCTCTCTCCCTGCCCTCCTGCCCCGCTTCCGATCCCGCTCCTCCTTGTCCCCACTCAATCTCTGCTCCCTCCCTCCCCCGCAACCGTCAACTCCCCCCCCATTCTATCTCTCTTTCGTCCCCTCTTCCCTTATGCTTCGAGTTCAGCTCCTTCTGAAAACATTCCAAAGGCATCAGGGCGATGGAGGTTCTGTAGCTCGTTCGATGCCGCAGCTCGACTCTTGAGAGCAGCATACCTGAACCCTGATACCTTTGCACACGAGTACCTGATACCTGGTATCATCAACCCTAAGGCTTTGAGCTCCACCTCACCATCATCCCGATGGCTTTCCGGGGAGGATGTATCATCCGCTCTACTCTGCCAACCCCGATAGATCCCCCGAGCTTCGTGAGGCAGGAGGGCAGTGACGCGTCCTCGAGGATGAGAGTACACGTTGTCGCTGCTCCTCATGTCGAGGACTCTGCAGAGCAGACACAGGAGGTCATCAAGGGAACTTTCAGTGGCACCATGAAGAAACCCGCGATCCAAAGGGTCTGGCGGCGAAGACAGGAGGCAGTACATGCTAGTCAGGTTGACAAAGTAGACATCGAGGTTGAGAGCGAAAGCTCCCATGGTGCGAGCTCAACGTCAGCTGCAAAGGGCTATGCCGAGAGAAACAGGAACGTCACCTTGTGCTTCGAGGGCGGTTCTGACGGCTGCCAGTGTAGATGGGGGAAAGTCGGCGATGCGATCCGGCGAGCAAGAATCAGCGCAAGTACTTGAGGCCCGAGTCTACTCCTCCTGCGCTGCCTTCTTCCATCTCCAAGGAGCTCGAAGTCAGTGGACCATCCATCACCTTCCTCCCTTCTCTTCTCTGAATGCTCCCCTAGCTTCTTCCTCCTCGTTTTGCTCCTCTCCTTTCCTTGGTCCTCCTCCCGTTCTCTGAATGCTAGGAGAGTGACCGTCGCAACAACAGATGCATCATGACGAGCAAGATGAACTTGCTCATGCGCGGACCACACAGACAGAAGTTTCAACGGTTTGCTTGGAAGATTTTGACTTTGCTACTTGGAGACATAGCCACAAGTCAGACGACAGCACCTTGTCGGTTGAAAATCACCCAAGAAGCATGTCAGCCACCTTGAGTTTGGGGTATTGGTCGAAGAAGAAGAAGTCTTTCTACTTTCAACAGCCTAGATCAAGATCTGCAAACATCGAGAAGCAAACAAGGCAGAGCCTGCCGACAAGAAGAGCATCCATGGATGTAAAACTTGTCTTACAACTTTTAAGAAGCTGATCCTTGATCTCCAGAAATCGTCGAGCAAAATCTTCGAGGGTGAGCAAGCAAACTGTCATGAAACGATCGTCTCTAAAACTTTTCAGTGTCGGGGACGGAGTTGCGGATGAGGAACAAGCTCAAACTGGCCTCACGCGGTACTGAAACATCCTCTCTCGTGATTGAGAGAGTGACATGAAAGATTTCACAGTCGAGACCGGAGCTGGGGCTGTGCACGAGCAAAAGGATATAAGTGTGAATGTAGAAAACTCAAGCAAGAGCAGGAAACACAGCATCACTTTGGACCTGACGAACAACGAGGCGTTTGCATCAACTTCAGAGTTCTTCTTCGACGACGAGGTTCTTGATCTGTTGGGAGGGAATCAGTGGCCTTGTATTCACCCTTGACTTTAGGATGATTACATCATCTTGCAACTCGAAGATGAGGTTTCAAGGTGAATCACTTGCCCTGTGCCAGTGAGTCAGAGACTCTGCTCAGGTACGACATGGAATCAGAGGCGAGGCATGAGGTCGAATCAGTGGACGACTCGGTCATCATGGTTGAAGAGCCGACGGAAGGCTCAAGTGCTCGAGGGTCGACCCTGACAGAAGATGACAAAGCTGATTGGGCATCGCTGCGCTCGCGAGTGTGTCAGATCGTCGTAGAGACTCTACGGCACCTGAGGAGCAGAAGGGACATGGCGGAATGTGGAGCAGAGGAGATGTAAGTAACGACAGCTACTTGATCCTTTCAGCCAGTTGAAGCGTGTGTTTGACAGAGACGAGGTAGCATCGAAGAAACAGCAGGAGGGGTGGAAGGTGATCTGTTTTCTGAATTGGCATGGACACTTGGAGGGAAGGTGAGGGAGCTCTGTGGATAGATTCGTCCTGGAAAGACTGACATGTCTTTCTTTCCGCTCGGATAGTCGGAGACAAAGAGGCTTGACTTCAAGACTTATACTGAACCGATACACACAATCTCAAATGGATCAAAGAAAGACAATTGCTTTGAGAATAGCATCTCCTACTGTACACAAGTGATATAATACAATAAGGTCAAACTGACAGAGTTTCTCATCCCCAGATCTACACGTTGATCAAGTACCCTGAGAGTGCCTCTTTCAGTTGTTCGTTGATTTTCTTCTGTTCGTCCAGTTCACTTTTCAACCTTTCCACCTCTTCATCCCTTGACTGCAGCTCAGCCTTACAGGACTCCAGCTGCTTGAAATATGACAACGTAAGCACCTTCTTGAGAACTGTAGCAGCTTCGGATATCCTGAATCTCAAATCATGCACTTCGGCCTTGAGGTTTGTGTTTTCCGTTTCCAACTTGGTCCTTTCCTTCTTCTCTACAATCAGCGATTTCTCCATGAGCCAGCGTTCCATCTCGAATTGTTTGCATTTCTGTCTCATGGCTTCTTGAACGTCATCGCACAGCTCATCGCATTTCGTGACGTCGTTCCATGCATGCCGTGGTGCAGGGCCGACTCAGTCGGAGTTGCGAGGAGCTGTAACGCGTCATCCCCGAAGAAGAAGACAGGTTGACGTTGGGTTGCATCAGCATCCCCATACCTCCTCGCTCCTTTCGTGTCCCTCACCTCGCTTTTGTCATCAGGTGAACATGCTGGGCGGACGACTTCCTGTGCTGAGTTGGTCGACCCCTCCTCGGCCTGCCGGCACGTTTCGTTCGGATGTGCGCTGTCGGGCCGATCGCTAACCATCATCTCAGATGTTGTCGCGTCACTGAGATACTCGCTGTCATTGCACAGGGTCTCATCGGATGAGACACTCTTCATCGTTCCCTCTGTTGACCCAGACGAATAGAGCATGTGAACGGCTCTACCTGAGAACAGAACGTTGGGTGCACAAGAAAGAGAGACAGGAGTGCTGAATTTCCTATGGACACGAAGACCATGGTGTATCATAAGATGAGGAGGAAGTTTGTCGAGGCCGAACGGAGACTGCAGTGAACACGTGAGCTCGGTGAGTGGTTTCATGGAAGAGGATGGGTCCCCAAGAGGCGGCGGAAGCGGAGTCATGGACGTAGACGTAGAGAGGCTGTGAGGAAGGGGAGAAGAGAAGGTAAATGCTCGAGATGCATCAGCAAGATGAGGACTCGTCTCCTCCTCGCTCGCTCGCCATGCGCTCGTTCCTATCGAAGGAGGCGGCATGGCGACGGGGGAATGTAACACACATCAACTTGAACCTGGAATGGGGGTAGTTGACAGCCCAAATGGGGGGTAGTACGATAAATAGAGGAAAGAGGGGTAGGTGCCCCAGAACAAACAGCTGCGTGGGGTAGGGTACAGGAGGCGTCGTTGAGAAATGAGGTTCAAAATGGGGGGTAGGGTACCCGCAAAACCTGTGTGGGGTCACTGAACTCAGTACATATTTGGTGGAGCCTGGAGGGGGTGGGGGTACAAAGGGGAGGTTGACTTTTGTAGCCGGGTGGGGGGTGGGGTCACACTGGGCCCGTACAACAGAGGCAGATAATGGGCGCTTGCTGGGAGGGTCCCCTTGCTTTCCCTGATCCTCAAGGACCCTCCCAGAGTGCTGACCTTGGTGGTGGTTGAGCGGGGTACTCGAAGTAACCTTCAGTTTGTTCCGACTCGAAGGATTGTCAGGGGTGGGTGGGTACCCGTACCCAGTGTGTCGGAGCAACGGTTGCCCGGGGGTACGGACAAAAAAAAGCCTGAGTGAACCACGGAGGCTGTACCGGGGACTTGAAAAAATTCGGGCCGCCGGTGGAGACTCCGAACGCCGCCGCACTATTTTTAACTTAACTTTGAGTAACGAAGACTGCCAGAAACGTGAACTCAGTGCCGACTGCCCGGCAGTCAGCGGCGACTCGGGCCCGACTGAGGCTCAGGCCGGTGACGCGGCCGGGCCGGAGGTTCCAGGCTAGCTCACCGAGGCTGAGTCAAGAGGACGTATAAAGTAGTGCTTTACAGTGAATCCGATATCTTCAACGTGCCGTTCCGAAAGTAACGTGACTATATCATTTATACCCAACATTAAGTTAAACTCATACGAGGACTAGGCTTTTTTTCGTGCAAATGTCAAAGCGAGTGATTTGGCGTCGGCCGATGTCCGGTTGGACCAAAGAGCGGGAGAGGAAGAGACGAGCACGAGGCCGAGGAGCTGGAGAGGGAGGAGGATGAAGATAGATGAGGTCGATGAGAGCGCAAGTGAGATGTGGTAGCTCAAGTTTCGGGTAAGCGAGAGGAAGGGGGAGGAGGAGAAAGAGGGGAGGAGGGGGGGGGGGGGGGGTTTTAAAAGGGTTCAAGAGGGATCGTAGGATAAAACTGAAGGATTGGAGATGGAGGCCTGAGGTGAAGGTGAAGGGAAAGCGGGGAAAGGAGGGAAAGGTGATTGAAGAAACAGCAAGAAGAGATAAGGTTCATTGGTTTGGGGTTGATGGATACATACTCGAGGAGTAAGAGGATAAGAGGAGAACAGAGCGAAAAGTTTGTGACATAGTATGGTTGAGAAAAAGGGTGTTGGGAGGTGTTGGTGGCAGGGACAAACCCCAAAGCTCTGTTCGGTTTAGAAAGGAGGGATAGAAGTTCTCCTCGATGGTTTCAGGCAAGAGTTATCGGCGATGTAAACCAGAGCAGAGGAGGAGAATTCGCAAGACGCCCTTGATTAAGACATGGCTCGTCATGCCTTCCTCGTTCCCTTTGTAATTTCTGATTGCACTTGACACACGATTGGCACTTGAATTTGCAGATCTTTGATTTGACCCTTCCTCCCTTTCTATGTGTGGTGTTCGATCTTCTTCTTGCGAGGATTTGCGCTCATGTCTCTTGTCCTTTTACTCTTCTAGCCTTGTTGCCCCGATTTCTCATCCGTTTCATTCCCTTGAAATCCTTCACGACCTCCCCTACCCCGCCCAATCCTCCTCCTTCACAACACTGTGAACACACCTTTCAGGCTGCCCTGCACGCATTTTTGCCAACACTCTCACTATCACCAGTTGCTCTCAATCATACCTCAATCAATCACTCTATCTCTCATCGCCTTATTGCCTGGCTGGTCTGTCCTATCTCTTCTCTCTTGTTCTCCTCATCTCTCCCGGATCCGCTCGTTCCCCATTCTTCGATCTCTCCCTTCCTTCCACCCCAATATCCCCTGCTATTCTCACATCTCTCCTCCTCTCATCCTGCCTCTCCGTCCTGCCTCTTCACTCTCCTCTGCTCCCTTTCCTCTCCCCCTCCTCTCCTCTCAGGGCCTCTCCTCCCGCTCCCTCCAAAGTTGATCAGTACACCGTGGTCACTCGTGTTCTACACTTTGTCTCCGATACCTACCCCTCCCCTCCCTTTCCCTATTTAGGACCCCACCCTTCGGGGTTTTTTGCTCTTGTTTCTTGCAAGATTTGGTTCTCGCCCTTCCCTGGACCTGCTCGTGGAGCTCAGCATGCCGCCGCCGCCGCCCTGTGCGTCTCTTGACCTGTCGATCTGATTGAGTTTCTCAGAGGCTCCTTGGCGATGAGGGAGGTGGATCTCTCCGCTCTAGCCCTGCGCCTCCGTGCTCGCCATGCCCTCCTCGTCGCAGCCGGGACCTTTCTTGGCGTGAAGCTGCTGCGTATCGGGAGGTGGTTGGTGTACGGAAGTGGCCGGTGGCTCTGGTGGACTCCGAAGGGCATCACGCTGCCTCCCATCGTTCCCGTCTCAAGGTTCCATTCCTTTCGCCACATCAGCGTGCAGCGGCAGTTCCCTCTCTACGTAAGTGGTACGCTTCTCGTTGCGCAACTAACCATGGTCCTATGCCTCGCAGCAATACCAGTACTTCAAACAGTATGGCCCTGTCATCAGGATCCCCCTTTTCCAACTCGCGCCGTGGGTGTTCGTCTGCGACCCGTCGGTTGCCAAGTTGGTCACCGAGGGCGACCGGTCGCTGGTCCTGGAGGAGTCGCCGAAAGCGCCGTGGCTGTATTCGCTCTTCTCGAGCTTCACTGGAGGGCCCAACATGTTCTCGAGGCCGCTCACAACTCAAGGATCCATCCCTGGCTGTCTTGCGAGCCGCAAGGCAGTTGCTAGCGCCTTCTCCATGGCGCAGATGGATGGGATAATTCCGCACCTGAACAAGTACATGGAGAGTCTGGGGGAGGTCTTGGACAGGATGGCGTCGTCGGAGCGAGACCTCGACGCCTGCGAGCTCTTTGTGAGTGCTTGCAGCTCAGGAGGGAGGAGGGAGGAGAGGGAGCGGAGGGAGGAGAGCTATGCTGATGCTATCCTTAGCTGCGGCTGAGTTTGGACTTCACCTGCGGGTCGTTGTTCGACTTCAAGTCAGACAGCATGAGGGATCTGACAAGGGCAAGTGACCGCGTACTGGAACGAGGGCTCGCTGACCTTGCTTCCTCCAGGAGGGAGGGGCAGAGAGGGAGAGTATGGGGAAGTCATTCTTGGAAAGCGTCAACACGATTGTGAACGAGATATCAGTGATGAGAGTACGTTGCTACAGCCTCTGACTGCGCCTCCTGACTTCCGTCCGAAGGTCACAAACCCGCTGCGCAAGTACATGTGGTGGGCTGAACACCAGAAGAAGTTCGACCGTTCAGGGCTGTTCCTTCGTGAGCTCGGGAGGGTGAGGAGGAGTTGAGGACCAGGAAAGCAGCAGGTTGAAACAGTCCTGCAGGACATTGTCAACAAATACAGGGCGTCTCACACAGATGAAGAGCTTGCTCGGGACTGCTCCGTGCTAGGTGAGCCTGAAACCTTGTCTGATTAGCCTCCTCATTATGTTCAAACCCTCAGGGCACCTGATGCGATCTCCGTACCCTTCGGACAAGTAGGAGACTTCACTGAGTCTGACGAGTCACAAAACTCAGCGTGTTGACTGTTGGTTTGCAGGGAGAGGATAGCAGATATTATTATCTTCCTGATAGCTGGACATGATACAACTGGATACACAGTGATCTCTGACAGAATCCCCTCCTCCTTCTCACATCCTTTGATCAGCTTGCCTGGATTGTGATTGAAGTTGCAAAGAAACCGGAGATTGCGAGGAAGATACGGGTAGAAAAGATGCAAATGATGATGATGATGATGATGATGATGATGATGATGATGATGATTGCAAACAGGAGGAATTGGACAAAGCAAACCCTGAAAGAAAACATTTCACAAGAGCACAACTGAGGTGCATCCCAGCCCCTCCTCCCTGCACCTTCTCCTTCCTCTCGTCCCCTCCTCACGTCCTCTTCCTCCCCTCTCATGTATGATGTTCTCCAGTTCTCTCGTTTACCTCAATTGGGTTATCAAGGAAGGATTGCGACTATGGCCGGTGAGGAGGAGGAGGAGGAGCAGGAGGAGGACGACGAGGAACCTTACTCTTGTTGCTTCTTTACCAAAGTTGCCGCCACCTCTGCTATCAGACTGGCACAAAAAGATATCCCGTGCCCAGGAGGACGTGAGTTTGAAGATAGTTGTGTTGGAGGAGACAAAAGGACGAGGGATGACAAGGAGGAAACGGGAAGGAGGAGGAGGCAGGGGAGGGTGGGGGGGGGGGGCTGGGCTGGGAAGGGGTTCTGATCTGCCCATCTGCAGTTACCATCCCTGCGGGTAGCACAGTGAGCGTATCTAACTTTGCGATGCATCGAAGCGGTGAGAGCAAGGATCAAAGAGAGAGAGAAGGACACTGCGTGAGAGGAGAGGAGAGGAGAGGAGAGGAGAGGAGAGGAGAGGAGGAGGGAGGAGTAGGAAGGAGGCATGGAAGTGGAGAGATTTCACACATGTGCGCTGCAGGCATTACTCGACCAGACGAGTTTGTTCCGGAGAGGTGAAAAAAGGAGGGGAGGATTGGAAGGCCCTGACGAGAGGAGCAGATGGGATGAGAAGAGCGAAGATCACGAGAGAGTAAGAGGAGGAGCTCGGAAACGATGGGTTGAAAATGAAGAGAGGGAGGAGTGGGTGGAGGAGGAGAAGATGAGGAAGAGAGGAGAGGACGGGGAGGAGGAGGAGCTGACCTGTTGGCAGCTAAAGACGATCTATCGTCCCTTCAGCACCGGGATGAGGAGATGCGTGGGAGAGAATTTGGCGATGGTGGAACTGCGGCTGGTATGGCAACTCCTCCTGATCCTCCTCCTCCTCCTCCTCCTCTTCCTCCTCCTCCTGATCTTCCTCCTCCTCCTCCTGATTCTCCTCCCAACCCCCCCGTCTCCTCCTCCTGATCCTCCTCTTCCTCTTCCTTACTCCTTCTCATGAACATAATCCTCCCTGTCCTCCCTTGTGACTGTGTGCAGATACTGGCGACCCTGTTGCAGAGATACGAGTGGGAGAACTTAATGGAACCTCGTCCGCAGTTCTACCTGACGACGAAGCCGGAAGGTGCTGTTGTTAGGATGAGGATGAGAGCGTGAAGGGGATGGCTGGAGGCGACCGGAACGTCCTGTGGTATTCTCGGCCCTGATAGTTGAGGAGATTCTTGTTTTGTTACACTTGCGATCAATCTAGTTACTGAGCAAAAGATCCCTGGAGTTGTCTTGTCCATCTTCATGTCCTCTCATTTGCCCGCTACCTCTACAACTTCTCTTCCGTGTTTTCTCTTCCATTGCTCTTCCTACAAATCGCTGCTTCACCGCTCTACCTCTCCCTCCTCTCCCTCCTCATCCTAATTTTCATGACATAAGATTGGCTCCTCCTCCTCGTCTCCTGCATCACAGACTTCACGAGCGCACTTGAAATCTCCCTGCCTTGGTCACGAATCTCACTCCCTTGTACGGCTTGTACCGCTCACCGCTGCCTCCCCGTCAGGCACAGCACAAGAGAGTCTCGGTTACCTCATCGTCAGTGCATCGATCTTGAGGCCAGAAGCGCTGAACATCACAATCTGCACTCCAAGTTAGGAGAGGGACGAGGGATGGCGAGGAAGGAGGGCGGGTGAAGCGGGTGAAGGGAACGCACGCGCAGTGACAGGAAGGAAGAGCGGGGAATGAAACTTGTGTGGCTGTGGTAGGAGGAAGACGAGGACAAGGAGGAGGTCGAGAGGGAGGAAAGTCGTGATGGTGGCAGGTAGAGGAGGACGAGGAGGACACGAGCAAGGAGGGTAGAGGAGAGTGGAGATGAACAACCTTGAAGTCAACGAGGATGGTTGGCCCGCTCTCTGGCGTCTCAGTCCCTGGCACCTGCTGGAGTCTCAGCATGCAAGAACGTCCGAGAGGCTGCGAGAGTGAAAAACAAGAGCCGGGAAGTTGTAAGAAGAAAGAGAGGATGAGGACGGCGATAGGACGATAGAGGAACTAAGACGGGAAGGAGAAGGGAGAGGAGGAGGGGAGAAGGAGGAGGAGATTACGATGATGATGAGGAAAAGGGGGGGGAGGAGGAGGATACCAGAGAAACGGAGCCGTTGAGACATGGACTTTTCTCCTTGGGGACCTGCAGAACGACATCAGTCCAGCAGACGAAGAGGAAGAGGAAGCAATCATGGTAGCGTTAGAGGGAAGAGGAAGAAAAGGCTTACCTTGCCAATTTCCCACCGTAGGACCTTGGAAGCATCATCGAAGTGAGCAGTACCGTGATTCACTGTATGCAAGTGTCATGCACTGAATGATGTCTCCCTCATCGCCTCAAAAGCATGATGATCTCCATCATCGTCATCATCATCATCGTCATGTCAATCGTCATCAGCATCATCACCATCGCTCAGCATAACACAGCGCCTCTGCTCCTGTACCAGAGAGGTTGTTGGTGGCGATGTTCTTGGTGAAGGGGATGGTGATCACAACGTCCTCGATTGTCCTCCCCGCGAGGTTCGACTTGGGTCCCACCATCACGTTGACGCGCCCCGACGTGCCGCTGAAGTGAATCTGCGGCTTCACGTAGAGAGGGAGGGTGACAGCCTGCCCAGTCGTGTTGACGCTGTAGGAGGCGAGCTTGAACTTGCCGTCGGGGGGGACGAACGACATGACCTGGTCCCTCTCGTACCTCGAGAGCCTCACACAGGGATGGAAGTTGACGTCGTCGATGATGCTCGGGTTGGTGAAGGACAGAGTCATGTCCGGCATCCCAGACAACTTGCAGTTCACCAGGACCTCCCCCGACACGTCGCAAGTCACCATGAGCCCGTTGGTGTCGATGCTGCAGTCGATCTCCTCGATGATGTCCAGGTAGATCTCGTTGTTCGTGTACTTGACTCCCTTCCTCCTCCACCAGATGCTGCTCAGCATGCCCTCGGGCAGGTCGCTGTTCAGGTTGCTCTTGTCGCTGACCCCCATGCTCGTCGCCACACGCCCGAGGATGGTGGGAGGGACGATCATCGTCTTGAGGACGTTGGGTTCGGTTGTCATCGGGATCCCGTTGTCCATCATCTCGTCCATGATCTGATACACAGTGATGAAGTTCTCCTTGATGCTCTCCTCGCTGACTTCGTTGAAGTAGTCCCTGAACACGTCCACCACCCGGTGAAGGAACTCAGTGACGAGCAGCGGGATGACATCTCTCTGTACGACGGCGATGAAGAACATCCCGTATCGCTGCACGTGGATCACGTAGTACTTGGGTGTAACCATCACCGGCTTCACCTCCGACGGGTTCGATGCCTGCTGTACCTCATTCCAGAACAACTCGCAGCAGGTCCTGCTGATGTATCCCCTGTAATGCTTCTCGATGATGACCTCTCCCGTAGGAGACATGACAAAGATCGAGTTGATCATGCTCGCTCCTTCTCACGCTTCTGCTGCCCGGCAGGCAGCTGCTCTCTCTCCACAAATCTTCTTCTGCAGACCAGACTGTTCGTGCACAAAACCCTGCGAGATCAAAAGTGTTCAGATGTTGCCATTGAGGAGGGGAAAATCGAATTTTTCAATATGCAGGAGAAAATTACTCCTACTCCTTCTGGTGACATTCCTCTACCTCCGCTGAACTGTGCGTCTGAATGCATATATTTTTCCTGTCATCATAAGGCATTCTCGAGCCAATCGACTTCTGACCTCTCCACTCGGAACTATGTCTCTTGACTTTGTTTGTATCTCTGCCTCTGTCTTCATCAGTGCCTGCCTGCCTGCCTGCCTCTCCGCCTCTTCTCTTTGCCAATTTAACTGCTTTTCCGTGAGGTCCCACCTGCTACTCTTCCTGCCTCCTCCTGCAACTTATCTCAGTTCCTGACTCCTCCTCCCCTCCTGATCCTCCTCGTCCTCGTCCTCGTCCTCCTCCTCCTCCTCCTCCTCCTCCTCCTCCTCCTCCTCCTCCGCTCCTCCGCATTATCGCCGCGTGTCTGCTGCGTCACTCAACCATAAAAAGGCAGAAAATTTCAATTGAAAAAATGCTTTCAGAAATTTTACTGTCCCAAAATCTTTTTTTTGAGTTTTTCTTTTTCTGGCTTTTACAAAATGTTTTTTAACAGTAGGCCCGCTCAGCTTGCTTGGGTTGATGAACCATGCTGGAACCATGAAGACGGGTGGGGCAGGGAGGAGGGGGAGAGGAGAGAGGAGAGAGGAGAGAGGAGAGAGGAGAGAGGAGAGAGGAGAGAGGAGAGAGGAGAGAGGAGAGAGGAGAGAGGAGAGGGGCCTGAAGGTCCTTCAGGGGATGATGCGATCGGACTCTCAATGGAGTGGGTTAAGAGGCGAAAGGATGATGATTACTCAGAGCAGAGAGGAGAGTGATGAGAGGGCTGGGAAACTCATGAGACAAGACGCGGCCGACCAGCCATCTGCAAACTTGCGCCGGAGAGGGTGACAGTCGATTGTGCTTTTCGGTTCAAGATGGATAAGTTACGGAACGCCATCGATGGCAAGCAGGGGCAAGGGAACAAAGTGACAACTAAGAGCGGACACATCTCAGACGTGAAGTTCGAGCCGAACCTTCCCCTGCTCGAAGATGACGACGTGCCTAGCGAGCAGTACGAGTTGGACAAACTCGATGAGGAGCTACAGAGGAGCAGGACGAAGAAGAGCCTGCTGGCAACACCGTCAGGGATGATGCGGGACAAGCTGGATTCGCTGCTGAACAAGAGGTTGGAGGAGAGGATCAACCAGCTGAGAATCTTTCGGACACAGATAGCAGAGATCCAACTGAAGAACAAGAGAGACCAGCTGGCGAAGTCGATCGAGATCAAAAAGGTCGTCGACAAACTCGCACGGACGAAACAGAGGCTGCAGGATGTGATGGAAGAGCTGAAGCAAGAGCGATCGGAGGAGCTGACCCAGCCAAGAGAGGTTTGCTTCCACCTCTACAACTCTTGTCCTCATGCCATGACAGGTCAGGCTGAGCGCTGCCAACGCGGTGCAGCATGTGAAGAGGACCTCTGTGCTACCAGCCAAGAGGCCCGACGCCTATCACTTTGTTGATGAGAGGAAGAGCGTCGTTGGGTCTCTGAGAAACGAAGGGGAGGGGAACCAGTGGGGGATCGGCATCACAGGAAACAATGACGCGTCGCAGATTCCTGTGCGGTCAGTGTTCAGACCAAGACGAGGAGCTAACATGAGGCTGGAGGCCAGAGACTGGAACGAGGAGTTTCAAACCAACATCAGGAGGATCAAGAGCAGATTCCTTGAGACAAAGTTCACAACCCTCGCCAAGATCGGGAACATGCAGGAGCATTTCGTTCAGAATGTGCTGTCCATCGGGAAGAGGATCGTGGAGGAGATAGCGTTGCCCTACGTGCAGAAGAGCATCAAACCAACAGCCATGCCTCTTGCTTTCAAAGTTCTCAGTGCGCTAGATCGCAATGACGTCCTCAAGGAGTTTGTGTACGATGCCGACGAGTGGCGCCCGATCTATTGCCACAGCAACATTGTGTTTCAAGTAGCGGCTGACGACTCTGATGTACATTGCTATCTGTTTGAATCGCTTGTTCTCACCCCTTGCTAGTTCTTCGGAGGTACTGAGGCAGCAAGCAAAGCCTTGTCAAACGAGTTCAGAGCCATCGAGTTCCTCTCGAAAGAATCGTACGAACACGATGTTTGCGTTCCCCTGTCAGCCTTGTTCTGCTACCTGGGACACAAGATTCTTGCCACTGCAGTGCTGCCTGGGATGGCTGACCCCAAGGACATGATGGATATATTTGCAAAAGAAGATGATCAAACAGAGACGGTTGCCACAGCTTGGGATAACGCAAAGGTAAAGCAAGTCGCCTTCCACAATATCACACGATGACGTTTGTATGGCAGGACTCTCTGCAAAGGAGCCTCCGCAAGCTGGGAATCTCTCTGAATCTCAAGCCGCATGTCATGATGGTGGATGGCGAGCAAGAGCATGTTCACCTCGTCGCTGACTTGCAGGCCTTCATCGGCAAAGACAAACGGAACTACCTCATGAGCTGCTCCCGAGTCCTCCCGCCAGAGCCCCCGACCTATCCGATCGATTCCGAGAGGTATCATCTGAGCAGGTTCATGCGGCCCGAGCTGCTTCAGCTGAGCTCCTCCCCCATCAATGCCGATTGCTTCTCGAGCTTCGTGGGCAAGGATGCGAGGAGAGACAACGCAAACTGCAGAGAGCTCTTCAACTTCATGCGGAGAAACATCTGCCCCTTCGTTGCCAGCTACCTCGACTCTCACGGGTATGACTTCCCGGACTTGATCAAGTCTCTTGCCTCCATCCTCCATCGCAACGGGATCAACGTTCGCTTCCTGGGGATCGTGGGTTCCTACTGCAAGAACGAGAGGACTGTCTGCATGGTGGCGTCGGAGATGGTAGCGCGACTTGTCAAGAGCAAACTGAGAAAGGATTGGCGCAGCATGGTGGACGAGGGTAAGAATCAGCCCCTGGACTCTCGCAGCTGCACTGCAGACGTTTACAGCTCCTTGTTCGAAGCGCAGGAGAAGGAGACTGAGTTCTGGTCCAACGTTGTTCAGAAGCGAATGAACGAAAAGTTCCCGGGGTCACTCGCGCTCGCTAGGAATCGACCATGGAGGACGCTTTGCGACATGAAGTTGGTCATCGACAGACTCTCCTCCATGACCGGCATCACCTTCCGTGAGGATCCCTGGGAAATCTTCGGGAAGCGCGGGAGAATTCTAGCTCATGACGTCATCAAGACCGAAGAGAGGATCCGAGTCGTCAACCTCGTGCCCATCGAGTGCCTGAGCGGCTTCGAGCTCCTTGCTGAGGCCCTGCGGATCTCTGACTTTGACAACAAGAAGAAGCTTGCCGCCGATGCTGTTCGCGTCTTCGAGCAGGTGAGGTACAACCCCTCGAGCGCTTTGATTGATAGCCTTGACAGGCCATCCAACACAACAACGCGATGAACCTGCAAGCAGTCACGTGCTGTGCCGACGCAAAGATGTTCCTCTCGCAGTTTCTCACCTTCTTCGACGCTCGTGCCTCGTTGGACGAGGCTGAAGAGCTCTACCGACGTTCCTTGTGCATCCGACCTCAGATCACCGAGACGCTTCTCAGACTTGGCGACCTGCATGTCCAGCAGGCAAAGCTCTCGCGCATCGAGGAGACGGCGGCACGTTTGCGGGCAAGAGCAGGAGCAAGGTATCTGCAGGGGATGCTCTACCAGTGGGAGAGAGACTACGCGACGGCAAACAAGGTTGTGCACAAGCTCGATCACTTGTTTCAGTTGTCTCGATCAGACTTCGCGGCCGTGAGCGTCGCGTCTAACAAGTTCTCGGACTTCAAGAACTTGAACTTCTCCTCCTCGCCGGACGTCGGGGCTAACGCGATCCGACGATCCATCGGGAAGGTCCCTGTGGTGGAGGACATGTGCATGGCAAACTGCCAATACTGCGACGACTCCGTCCTCTCGTACATCATCCCCAAGTCAAAGCGAACATTGACAGCCCTAGACGTGAGCGGTTGCCCCGTGACAAGCGAGTCGATCATTGTGCTGGCGCAGCTGAAGAACTTGCAGAAGCTGGTGGTGGACAACTGCTTGCTGATCGAAGACAAGGCATTGATGGAGGTGTTTCAGAAATGTACAAACTTGCGGCACATCTCTCTTCGCTCTGTTCCCAAGGTCTCTAATCAGAGCGCATTCTACATCCCCAAGTTCTGCCGGCAGCTCCAGTACTTTGACATGAGTCACAGCCCCCTCATCACCGGCGCCGCCCTCAATGAGATCGCGCAGGTGTGCAGTCAGATGGTGGAAGCCTTTGCCCAAGACTCCTACACCATGGACGACGTGCCCGTCATCAGCATCGGTAAGAACTGCCCTGCTGTCCGGACTCTCGACTTCCGCAACTGCGTCAAGTTGTCCAGCCTGTCAATCAAATCTTGGAAAGGACGGTTGAAGAAGCTAGAGACGCTGATACTGGAAGGATGCATCCGCCTTGATGACGCGGCCCTGCTGGCCCTTGCAGATCACGAGGCCTTTCCCAGCTTGACCCACCTGGACCTGACGTCGTGCGACTTGATTTCAACTCACGGCCTGCAGGAGATCGTCCGGCAGCTGGTGGACCTCGAGGTCCTGCGAGTGGGCAGGTGCACCCAGATCGAAGAGCATGCGGTCAAAGCGATCGCCAAGAACTGCCGGCAGCTGCGCGAGCTGAGCTTGGAGTCTTGTGTGGGAGTGACAGTGGGAGCAAGCGTGAAGATCGTCTCCTCCTGCACTTGTCTAGAGAAGCTCTCTTTTGCTGGCTGCCACCTGGTGGATGACACGACAGTGAGCATGATGGCGACGAATTTGACAAGGCTCGTGGAGCTGGACGTGAGCGGCTGCGAGTCTCTGTCGGAGGGGCCGCTGGGGAATGTGATCATCAACAACACGAGCTTGACGGCTCTGAACCTCTACGCGTGTCGCAAGGTCGGGAACAAGACGCTGAGGAAGATCGGGGCTACGTGCAGGAGGCTCGAGGCCCTGACCATCTCTCAGTCGAACAAGGTGAACGACAAGGGGATCATGCAGGTGGTGACAGGTTGCCCCTGCCTCAAGAGCCTGCACGCCACTAACTGCAAGAACATCTCCGACGACGCCAAGCAGCTGCTGAGCATTCAGACCCCCTGGGTCAATTTCGCATTTTAATATCAACACGTCAGCGTCTCCTGCGCTCTCCCGCAAGCTCGCCTCAACATGGCTTGGTGGTCCCGCCTCACTCTGTCGACCACACCTTGAAGGTACGATCGTAGGAGGCGCTGCAGTCAAGTCATGCCTCTCTCTCCCAGCAGAACCCCAGCTCATACCTGACCACAAGATCTCCAGCTGGCGCGAAGTCAACGCACATGACCTGAGAAACGTCACTGATCCTTCACTCTCCTCCTCTACCAACCTTCTCGTCGTGTCCTGACAAAGTCTTGATCGCTGTGAAGTTTCGGAGGTTCCAAATCTTTTGCCACGTGAGAGGCACGTGGAGCGGCAGCGAAAAGCTGTACCTTGCATGTCCTGTCGTAGGAGGAGGAGATGAGGAAATCTCCACAGCTGGAGTACTTGACAGCAGACACAAGACTGCGGCAGCGTCAGCCAACCCCTGCGACCTCCTTGCGCTCACTTTGGATGGGCCGGCATCGTGTAGTAGGCCTTTCGCTTCCTCAGGTCCCACAGCCTGTACAGGGTCAGGACTCTCCTCGAGCCCTCGCACGACTCACTTGATGGTGTTGTCATCGCTGCCAGTCGCGATCTTGACGCCGTCCGGGTTGAAGTCAAGTCCCAAGATCTTGGCAGTCACCTCAGTCAACCGCATCCGTTTGACACTTGACAAGCACCTGCTTGACATGTCCCTGCAGCGTCATGATCGACCGTCCAGTTCGAAGATCCCAGACTCTGCAGATCGCATCCAACCCGGCAGAAGCCACCAGAGCTCCATCAACCTACTCACATGTCAAGGAGATTTCTTGTCATCCTCCTTCACCCTCCCCCCTTTCTCTTCCTCCTCTTCACCTGGAACGCGAGATTGTAGAGAGCACGCGAATGTCCCTCCTGGCACAGCAACTCTTGCTGCGTCTCCAAGTCCCACATTCTCCAAGTCTAAGGCAACAAGCATCAACTCCCTCCATGAGGCTTCTTGATGAGCTCCCCATCCCTCCCCTCTCCTTGCTCTCTCCTGCCTGTCTCCTTCCCTCTCTTCACCTTATCGAAGCTTGTTGTCCCCAAGTACCTCCCGGAGGGGTGGAAGCCGATCCTACAGACTCTCCCTGCATGCCCCTGCAGAGAGTGTGAGACGAGGAGAGGAGGAGGAAGATCGATACCTCCAGCGTCCCGATGTCCCTGAACGAGTCGTTGCTCCACAGTTTGACCTGATCATCGACCTCATCGCCAGCAACAGCCTCCAACGATTTTACCTTGAGGTCTGCACTGCTGGTTGCAGCCGCCACAACCTTTCCCTTTCCTTCCGTGTTCCCTAGCACGACATTCATTTGCCGGCTCCTTCTGACAACTGCTGGACATACCTACTGCCGCCGAATCGAACTGAGGATGAAATTTTGCGTCTGAAGTGAACTCGTCAGCACAACGACAATCAGAAACAGACGTAGAACCAACACCTGTTAATCGCTCGGCATGCCCGTATAAGGTGAACTTCAAGTCGCATGATGGCATTGACCAAATCTTCGCCACTCCCGACCACGAACTTGTCGCAAGAAACTAAAAGACTGTCGGCAAGTTCGCAAGGAGCAACAGAGAAGCACCTGTCCATCAGGACTGAAGCTACATCCCGATATAGGTCGAGCATCCCCTTCAAAAGCAGTCAGCTCCAAGTTAGTCCAAGAAGAACTCTAAAACCAATCTGCGATGAAGACAAATCTAGATTTCGATACTGAGAGCACAACGTGTCATCCAAGTAGTGAAGTGGGCAAGCGACGACCTTTCCAGCCTTGTCCATGAATCTGTTGTGCTCCTGCTCTGTTTCATTGTCCTGCCGTAGAGTTAATCTTCAGGTCAGCCTGCAGTGAGAGATGATGTAGAGGAAGAGGAATAGAGGTGGAAAGGTGGAGAAGACGAGGAGTAGATGAGTTGACAACAAGCAGGATGAAGGGCAGAGAAGCACAAGTGGCAGGAGAGGACATAGAGGAGGAGAAGGGAAGTGAACGGGGAGGAGGCAGGAGAGGAGTCTAAGTTGAACTCGTGCCTCATCCATGCGGGTATCTTCGATGTCTTCCTCCGGTATTTCTCTCCCCTCTGTCATTCAGACGTCATCATCTCACCACATGCCAGCTCCTCTCCTCACACCTTTGATCGCCGTTTCGTACTCCTTCAACTTGGCCTCTTTTTTCGCGATGTAAGTTTCGAGCTCGGCCTAAATATCAAAGACAGGAATCAAATCTCGAGTTGAAATTTCAAATGAAATGTAGTGCAAAGTAGGATGAAGGATGAGAATTTTTCAAGGCTCGGCAACCTGCTTCCTCTTTGCTATCATCGTTCTGCTCTTCGCCCTTGGTAGCGAGTACTCAGCTATCCACAACCGAGCAGTTTTCAGCTCGTCAGGTCCCTCAGTATAGAAAGTCTGCGCAAACGATGTAAACAAACATAGAGATCATGCTGAGGGGACGATAGCTTTCGTCACAGACCTCCTTCACTTGTCCATCACGGAAGTCTCGATCGTCGTCTTCGCGAGCACCAGAAACAATCTGAAGAAAGGTTATGTTTTCGAGAGAGTCATTGAGAGGTGGTCGGTACATCGTTGGCTGATATTCCTTCTTCGACTTCCTTTCTTGCAAGAATGATCTTGAGACGATCACGACGTTCAGCTGGTTTTTAGACTCAGCATGACTCTAGTTGTTATCAGCTGCAATATCGTTGTTACCTGGCCCTTCCCCAAACAAGCAGATAGGCTCCCGAAATTTTCTGAGTTGCATCTTGACATCATGATCGTTCGTAGGAGCTGCGATGCCAAGTCACTCGTATGCTGCCACAAGATCACTGCAACTGCACCAGCAACAGTCCTCGCACGCATTTCAATCTGAAATCTGTGTAATTGCCTATCAGTCGCATAGCGTTTTCAGGCACGGATCGACTCACTTCCGAAGCATCTCATCATGCTTCTGCCTTGCTCGGAGAGTCTCCTCAGTCATTGGTACAAGAGAAGTCTTTCCTCCTGAGATCGACGAGATCGGCTTCTCATCCCTCCTGCCTGTAGACATAACAGTGTAAGAAGGCACCAACTTCATGATCACGTCTGCCACATCCAAGTTGGACTTCCAATCTCTCATACATGATTTACAAGCTGTGATCATCCATGGGTGGCTATGAATAATCTCGTTTGTTATCGTTCAGCTATCCTCCACCCGCTCGATAGGTTGAGCACAGCCTATTTCCCCTTGATCCTTCCTGCATCCTTGCCCGTCGCTGCTGCTCTCCCGCACTACAGGTACATACAAAGTCCCTTCTCCCTCACTGTCTGGCTCTTCAACGCAGCCTCGACTGACTTCAGTGAGAACCACCCAGAGGAAGACATGACTACACTCAACGCTCTTGCGATCGAGGTACCACACACTTCCTGTACGGTGAAAGCGCGCAGAGGAACAGGGGAGAAAAGCAGAGAACCCAAGAGGGTCGGCATAGAAACTATCTAGATCGACACAACCAGCATGTTTGTCCATTCCGCTGCTTCCCGTCGGCTCATCCTCTCCTCCTTCCTCACCTGCCAGGCCCTCCAAGCTGCCGTACTTGATCCGCTCCCCCATGCCGCGCGTGGCTGTCGAGGAGCAACGGTACGTAACGGGTGCATCAATAACCGTCTCAATGATTGCAACGGTCTGTAACGACCGAAAAGTCGCAAAGAAGCGATCAACCACAAAATGGAGGAAGGAAAGGAGGAGGGGGAACCTCAGCAAGGAAGGAGATCACAAGAGTAGAGTGAGAGCTGAAATGAATACGGAAAGATTCAGAAGACAACACGCAGGAGCGGGAAGGGGACGATGAAGATAGAAGAGCTTGCTTGTGACTTTTTCTGGAGCAGGTAGCTGTCACGATGAATCGAGGACCGTTGCTAGAGCTCTTCGTCCTGTTGATCGTCGAGTTGTTGGGCGTGCAATCATTTCAGATGCATACGACCTTCACTGTATGAATCCCTTCCATCCTTTTCGATCAGTGCCAGGTAATGACAAGACCTTTACTTGCAGAAGCTGGGTTCCGGAACATTTCGATCACGTGCGAACATTGTCAGGAGGCAATCATCGAGTACAATCACCATGAAAGATCCAAGCAGGTGGGCAAACCAGAGCGAGGGGAGAAACTTGCCTGAGCTAGTATGTCAAACTTCAGGATTGCCGTCATTGGGTCGGGTGCGGTAGGACTATATTACGGGGGAAGGTACAGCTCGTTCAATCCTCCTACAAACCTAACTCATGCAAGGTTGTTGGAAGCTGGGCATGACGTCACGTTCCTTGCGAGGAGAGACCTGGATAGGTTGAATAAGGGTGAGGACGTGTGCGAAGGAAGAGCTCAAATCTGACAAAGAGCAGATGGCCTGCGAATCAAGTCTGTGGATGGAGATGTCAACTTTGCTCAAGTCAAGGCTGTCGGGGATGTCACAGAAATTGGAGAAGTCGACTGGGTTCTTCTGTCTGTAAAATCTTACGCTTTAGAAGCTTGCAAGGAACTCGTAAAGGGTTGCATGGGTCCGCAGACGAGAATATTGGCCGTGATCAACGGGTTCGGGATCGAGAGTTGCCTGGCCTCTGATTTTCCGCATGATAAGATCTTTGGAGGGATGGCCTTCACCTGCATCAATCGTGAGAGCGATGGAGAAGTGAATCACCTCAAGTCAGAAATCCTGACAGACTGCCACACTCTCACCTTCTGATACAGGTACGGCACAATCACATTTGGGCACTACAAAGATGACAAGGATGAGCTCGCAAAAGTTGTGGACCTCTTTGAGGGCTCAAAGGTGAAGGTTACGACTAGCGACTGTCTGCTCTATTCAAGATGGGAGAAGCTATGTTGGAATATTCCATTCAACGGTTGTCCTGCCATTGCTGTCTCGTCAGCTATTTACAGTACTTGCAGGAATTGCGGTTAGACTTTAAGATTTCTTCTCCATGGAATTTCAGTCTTTGATCTGCCTTGAACGGACTCTGCACAGGTGGCGATGGGCGGAATCACCACCGACATCATTGTAACTGTAAGGCGAAAACTGCACCTTCTGAGGATTGAGATCAGTGAAGGACCCAGACCTGCGACTGTTAGCTCGCAAGGTCATGGAAGACGTCGTGAAAGTTGGAAATGAAGATCTTGAGACCAGGAATATCTCTCCAGAGTATAGACTGAATGATGAGGTATGAATTCATTGCATGTCGTGAACTCACAGGCGGTCTGTGTAACTGTGTTTTCTCAGACGATTGCGGCAATGTTTTCAAGGACAGACAATATGGGTGAAGCAAAGATCCTGAGAATCTGAGAAACGAAGCTGACAATCTTGCTCTTCCAGGCCCCTACCGCCCGTCGACCATGATTGATCTTGTTGAGGGAAAGCAAATGGAGGTGGAGTACATGTTTGGAAACCCATTGGAGAGAGCTCGAGCCTTGCAAGTGAGCTGCGGATATATGGAATCGGTCATCTCGATGATCAAAGGTATTCAACGTATCCGAAAGTTGTGAGACTTTCTTCCAACGAAAAACAAACCTCAACCTCGCCCTCTGCAAACCATCACAACTTATTCGTTTATTATACAAATGGTTTTAGTGATCGATGAATTCTTGGAGTCTCCATGGTCTCCTACATCACATCGAAGTTGATATCTTTATCTTTTTTGCAGCTTGCAGATGGAAATGAGGAACAAACATGTTCTCTTGCAAGTTTGGTGTAGTCCGTTGCTGAAAAATATTGAAACCATCCCCAAGTCCAAGAATCTATCTTTTGAATACTGAAAACAAATAAATTTCAGGGGGAAAACAAATGAGAGATGTTCGATTACATTCTCTGAGCAAGAGTTTCTCGTCGGGTTCGGCCTTCACTTCTCTTCCTCCACATTGCAGCATCAAGGTTGTCGATACGATCGTGTGATTTTTGGGCATGTGAATCCTTCACGCTTTCCTTCACAGCCTCGTCTCGTTTCCTTCCTGAAAGAGTGAATCAGCCAACCATAGACCGATTCTCCCATGAGGGGTCGAAGTTTACCTGACATAACTACGTTCACTCCGTCATGGAGTGGAATCCCCTTGGAAGCCAGGAACTTAGAGCTGGATCTTGTTGAACTTGATGTCTCCTCACTATCATCTACATCTTGCTGGGTGTAAGAAGCCATTGACAGATGCATCTGAGTGAGAAAAGCTGCGCAGCAAAGCAAGACCACTCTTCTACTTCGCATTGTTGCTTGCTGGACGCCCACATCCCCCCTCCAAACGACTGCCATCAGGTGCGCCTCAGGATTGATGACGGGGGCGTGAACCTGGCGTGAACCGTTCTGAAGTTCCGAGCCTTTTAAAAGTTGGGAACTTGCCAGGCTTGTGCGGCCAGTGCCGGACTCGCCGAGTCGGAACCCGGCGAGAAGTTTAGTTCCCTCGTGTGACCGTCTCCCGGCAGGCCCGGCCCGGCTGGACCAGGAAATCGGACTCAAAGTTGAAAGTGAATTTAAAAAGGAGGCAAAGTGTTGTCAGTTTTGCTTTCAACGTTACATTTCAATTTAAAAAATTCCCACGCCTCTTAAACAACTATGGATCATTAGTATCATCCGCCATCACTTTCACATCGTGATAGCACAACATAGCACCCTCAAGTGTCAGGTGCTTCCTTCAAGTCTTTCAAAGATGCTTTGGCAGCAAGCTCGTTCAGTGCCGGTCTCATCATCTCTGCCACTCTTTTGAATCTGCAGTGTTGTCAGCATAGGATCATCGAGTCGATGATTTCCAAGTCTTCTCAGTACCGAGAGATGGTGGATCTGCATTTCAAGATATCGTATCTCACGACCACTGGGACGTTCTGCAGGTCTGCAAGGGCGAAAGAGAGAAACTCTCGTCTTTCTCGTTCTCCTAATTTGAAGCCCATAGGTCCGAGTGGACCCATCACCTGCCGCAAAGTAAGTGTTGGACAAAAAACAATAAATGATGCAATGCCTTCTGTTCGGTCCCAGGGCCACCAGGAGTGAAGCGCAGAATCTTTGAAGTCGCTTCCTCAACTCGTCGATGTCCTTCTTCATCATTATCACTCGTTAGCTTGCTTTCCAGACGGATAACCTACAAATGCCCACGATAAAGTCAACACGAAGCATTCTCGATTGCCGTGTAGACCTCCTGTGCGGTCTCCATTGCGAGCTTTTCAACTGTCTCGAGCTTAGCTTCCTCTTCCTTAACCAGCTCATCTGCGAATAGCTGGACCCTCGCCACAGGAAACGGCTTCAATTGCTCAACTTCGAGGATCTTGAATCTTTGAACTCCAATGCAGGAACAGATTGCGATTTGTTCATCCAGGTCCATGACATCTCCTTCCTCTTCTTCAGAGACTACGGAAGCCCAGTGCACGTTCTCTAGCAAAGCCATCGTTCCAACGGAAAACATTTCACCTGATTCATCGACTGTGCAGTATCCAAACAGGGGAAGCCTTTCTCCTTCAATGCTTCGCAAGGAAGAAAGCTCGTCCTCGCCGCTCACTTGGACGATCGCCTTGCATTCTGGAAACAAAACACCTCCTTCTGAAGGTGCAACTGGGAGCAATGGCAATCTCTGAAAGGCTTGTATCTTTAGATTTGCCGACAACCGTGCTATGTTTGAATATTTCTTATGAGAAAACTTCGGGAAGAAAGGGAGTTTTTGTGACTGCAAATCGATACTTTTTTGATTTTGAAACAAGTATCCGGATGTTGAAAGGCAAAAAAATAACCTTATCACAGATGGAGATGCCATCAAATGGATTTCAGATTATGAAAAGAGTCCTTTTTCCAATTTTTCTGCTGCAGCAAAAGCGCAGTTAGTTCCTCTAAAAACACAACAACGCTGACAACCGTTCATACTTGCGCTATTCGTCTTATCTCATTTTTCGATCCCTGTAAACACCGCATTCTACTAACTCATATCCACGCTCCCAGGCTTTCTGCTACCTTTCTGCTCCCTTTCTGTTCCATCCTCGCTCCCTTCCTGCTCCCTTCCTGCTCCCTCTCTCGGTCATCGTTTCCATGCAACTTGCGACCCATCATGTCCTTGGCTCCATTCCGCCCCTCCGTTGCAGCAAATACCCTACCGTGTGTTTTATCTGTGATAACCCCACCCCCGTTTGACCCACTTGAAGTTCTACTACCCTTGCTTTCCCAGGCAAAAACCATCAATATACCGGTATATTCACAATATCTGGGAAGTAACCCCTGTCAATTCTGACATGAGGGGTACATCCAATCTTTGACTAAACTTTGTAGGGGGACTGCAACCAGCAGAACTATGCTCAGAGGAGGGGTACATTTCCCTCTATTCAAAGGTCATGACAAGGGGTACAGGGCCAAAACTAGCTGGTGGGCCGGCCGGCGGCCCGGTGGTTTATCGTCCACAGGATCCTCAGTGACTCGAACTGGCATATAACACCCAGGGGTCTGGTATGAGGGGTCCGAAGATATGAAACTTCAGTTCTGAAGTGGGGTGGGGTAGTCGATTATACCTCAGCGAAAATGGCTGGTGGTGGACATGAGCGGTGGTGGGAAAGCCTGAGGGAAGAAGAGGACATGATCTCACTTGAGCCTCTATGCCTCCTTCCTTATGAGCCTTTCGAACTTCCTGCGGATGAGAACGTGCAAACGATGAGATGGTTCGACGGCAAGGTGACGTAGTCTAATATGTGATTGCGCGCGTGTGAAAGTTTGTGGGCAGGTTCTGGCAAATTATTTGTTGTCAACCTTGAACTTCAAGCACCCTGCGAATAGAAGAGACTTGTGCAGAGAGGAATGCGTGAGGTTGGACGATTATCTTGCTCGCTTGAAGCTAGATGAGCCCAGGGTTACACGTGCGTTTGACCTCCGTGCGGATATCCTTGCCCAACGTGCTTCAGAGGAGCAGAGAGAAGCCGCTAGGAGGATGCAGCATGACGCTAGATCTATACTGAGTTCGTTTTACGGCTCCACAAGTTACAGGAGTCACCGTGGGAGACAGAGAGTGCAACACTTTGATGTCGAGAACCAGGATGCTGGTCAAAGAGTGATCGACGACGACGAAGAAGGTTTTCACAGCGCGCAGACCTTTCGAGAGAGACAGCGGCTGGTTGACTTTCCCTTACTCATACCCCAGAGACAAGACGGTCATCACCAGATTCCAACGCAAATAGTCACTGGGAGAACATCGTTATCGTACGCTGATCGAGCGAAGCTCTCACCCAGCAGCACGCAAGCCTCCACTCACGCATCCAACAAAAGACAAGTCCCATCGATGACCAGAACCTGTCACAATCACAAGATTCTCTTTTCGAACGAGCAAGGCAATGACGTGAATCCTGCTGCCCTTGACGAATGTCCCTTTCCGTGGCAAAAACATCAAAACCCGTGCAGATGTGATGTCTTCCTTCCAGGTCAGCCCGACAGGCAGAAAGGTAATTGACTTGATCTACTTGTTGAGGTGATGAGTCCTTCGGAAGGAAGTGTTGCCAGAGAGGACATGGAGAAGCTCCTGCTGTGGTTCAATGCCGCAACTCATGCCAGTGCGGACGCTCTGAGCCTCAAATTCCCACCAGCGCTATCGAACCATGAACGAATGCTTGTACATAAGTTTTCAGAAGCCAATGGATTATTCAGCGCGTCAGATGGGTAGGATATTCTTGTTTGCTTGCTTTGAAACAGTGACACTCAGTCTTACTTCAACCAGCTACGGGAAGGAAAGGTTCATCAAGATTTTGGGCAGACGAAGGCAAAATGAACAGTGCGCGACCGCGCTGAGCTCAAAAGAGAAGAAGATTGTGGATCAACTCACATTGTGGGCAAACAGAGAATCTCAAGAACTCCGAGGGATCAGTAGAAACTCGGTCTGTCTCGTTTGCTGGCATGAAGAAAAGCTCACTCTGTGAACAGGTGGCAGAAATGATCCAGCAGAACTCGCTGCATCCTGAGCTGAGAAAGATCAAGGCGAAGCACGAGAGAGCGGCTCTTCTGTGTGAAGCAATCCATCGAAAGAAGCTCGAGATGGTACTTGAGTCCTATCAACGCCTAGACTTGTGTTGAACGTTTCCCGTCAGGCAGAGACGATGTTGAGAGAGGACCCTTCTCTTGCTGAATGCGCCTGCAGCGAGACCGGTGAAATCCCTTATCATGCGGCAATGGCGACAGGATTGCTTCCGTTGGTGAAGCTGATGAAACAACTACTCAACGAATCCGCCGTCGAGGAGAAGGAACCGGCACATGACAGTCGATTTTGCTATGCCTTGATATCTTTACCGCACTTGACCAGACAGCTGGATTACCTGCTCAAGCCATGAAGCAGACGAATGGTCCCCGGAGCATATCGCTAGACTCCCGAGCATCTCCGCTGCTTTGCCTAGAGCGAAGTTTACAGCTTCATGGTTCCTTGCTTGTTATTATCGTCATGCTCTTGTACAGCAAGCTTAGCCTCGCATAATGCGGTGTATGATCCACTTCCTGATGAATTGATAATCAAGTCACAAAGGAACAGGAGTCTATTTGTAACGTCCTCTTCTCGTCAGACAGTATCATAGAACCATTTCTCATCGTGAGGCTGAACGGTCTCTGACTCGGACTGAGCTGCAAGCAGTCAGTGCCGCTAGGCAGGAATGAGGGGGATGAGGGTCAGGAATGTTGAGCATGTTGTAAAAGGGCCTGGCTGTCAGTGCGAGTATGACCCATGTAGAGCAGTGGGCATCAACCAGCGTTGGAGGAAGGTTGATATACTTTCATTTACTTGTGTTTGCCATGTCAAGGATGATTCCGTGGCAAGGTCTGTATGAAGCCTTTATTCGATGATCCTGAGCACTGGAAGGTCCATGTACGGCAATCGAAGGGGAGAAACTCGGTCCGAGGACGGTATGGTCTTATCAGCTCTCTTCTTGTAACTACAAACTACTTTTGAGCACAGACGGTAGAAGCATCAGCTCCCAAATCCTTTTACAAACACGCACAGGCACGCACTCACACACACACACACACACACACACGAGACGGTTCAGCTGCTCCAGCTGTCGGTGAGCAAGCTGCCATAGGTTGCTTCTTATCCCATCTTCTCCCGTCGTATCTCCATCTCGACGACATGGACGAGTGAGGTCGGGGGGACGCGAGAGTCTCTAGAAGAGCTTCAGGTGGCTCGCCATGTCCCTGCGTCAAAGTCAATAGCAAATCAGCAAACGAGTCAACTGAGTCACGAGGACGCACCAAGGGACGAAGAGCTTCTTCTTCTCGTCGTAGATGTAGCAGAAGGCGTCTCCAGCCAACGCGCACGCGTCGACGTAGCTACACACCCACACCTCGAGCTCGCGTCTGACCATGAGCTGTCCGAGGCCTCCCATCTTGAAGGTGCTGTTATGAGTATCGAGGCTCGGAACGATGTCTTTCCAGGTGTGAAGCATCTGACAGTGAAGGTACTTGCTGCTCACAAACCAGTACTGCGACAGCGCGTTGCTCGAGATGTTTGCAGTCCACGTCATCGTGAAACCCTGATACGCCACGCTCTCGTCCGCCTCGAACACAACCTCCAGCACCCGCGAGCTCGCCGTCACCGTCAGGCTGCCGGGCTTGTGCAGGCCCGTGAGCTTGGCGACCTCCGTCCTCCCGTAGCACTCCAGCGACGCTCCCAGGAGGCCGATGCACTCGTTGATCGTGAGGAAGTCGTATCCCGGCTCGAGGGCGAAGGAGGTGAAGTTGAGGGAGATGGAGGAGGCGCCTGGAGGCTGGATGATCCACCGGCAGTTGCTCCCGTCCTCGTACAGGCTTGACAGTGCCGATCCGTCGGACATGGACCCTCTCGCCTCGTCAAACAGCTGGCACCGGCACTTGCCTGTGCAGGGCTTGAGAGCTGAGCTGCAGATGCTGTCCTGCAGCTCCTGACAGGCTAGCGCGTGCTCCCCGCTGTTGCAGACAGGGGTCGAGCAAGCCCTGCAGGAGGACCCGGAGACGTACTGGCCGGGAGCACAGCGAATCTTTTTGATGAGGATGCGAGTGTTCTGACAGTACTGGCCTGATGACAGCGCGTACAGCTCAGCGTCAGCTCGGATAGACTTGGTCAAGCCGTTGAGGGCCATGACGCGACCAGCAGTCACGTAGTTGTAGTTTGACGTGGCGTAGACTGTGCCGTCGGACACCACGAGCTGCTGGAGACCCCACGGGTAGCGTGCGATGACCTCAACAGTGTCCGTGTCGTTGGGAGCTACTTGCCAGCCGGCCGGCAGCTGGACCATGCCGCACTGAAGCCTCTGGTTGGAGCTCGATAAGGGCCCTTGCAGGGGGTCCCAAGGCTCCGTCATGTTGTCCATGAGCACGGCGTACTCGTCCCCGCTGCGAGAGGTGACGGCGAAGATCCAGCCGCACTGGTAGAGCATCGCATCGGGATAGTCCTGCCTGCACGACCTCGTGATGTTGCACCGCATGGAGGCTGGCCTCACGACGACGTCGCTCTCCGGTGACGGCGGGGGCTTGCAGGCGAGGCAACGCGTGCCTGACTGGAAGTATCCCGGCTGACAGCGCCAAGCGCACTCCTCGTCAGCGGCGTCGAGGAAGTAGGCGAAGTTGGGAGCGTTCATGCAGGGCACACAAGCGCCTTGACTGCGATAGTGACCCGTGCCGCATCGCCACTGGCAGACCTGACCGCTCGACCCGTCGGCTTCCACATAGAGAGCGTTGCTTGGCTTGGGATACCTCGGGTCGCACGACGCGCATCCCTCATACGCCTTGTAGTATCCTGCCCGACAGGTCCATCCGCACCCGCCTGGTCCCGAGGAGGCTACCGCGTTGGCCGGTAGGCTGCCCGAGCATGGCGTGCAGTCTTGATCGCCTCGGCCCACGTAGCCGTCATCACACTCTAGGCGCACAAGCAGCATCCGCAGGGCGTAGTATCCGTTGTCGCAGGACGAGAGGGCGTAGGAGTTGCCGCTGCTGTAGAGCATGTTGCTGAAGATGCGGGTGCCGGGCGTTTGGTAGCTCATGTAGTCCTGGTAAGGCTGCGCCGTCTGGTAAGCGACTCCGTTGGCGAGCACGATGGCTCGAGCTCCCCATGGGTACGACCCGACGACTCTCACAGCTTCCTCGCTCCATGGCGCCAGCGTCCAGCCCGCAGGAGGCTGCTGGTACCTGGAGCCGTCATGCTGGCAGCTGAGGTTGAGCGACGTGGGAGCGACGTCGTCGAAGGCTGCGTAGACCTTGCCGAGGTACCTCACCACGTGCGTCAAGCTGTTACTGACGTTACACGCCTCTCCATGGCTCTCGCCGCTCGCGCAGGCCCACTGGCATGAGTTGGGCTGGTCCAGCAGGCCCGGGGTAGAGTAGAAGGCGTAGGGGGGGATGGGGTTCGTGCAGGGGAAGCACACCATCCACTCGGAGCTCCGGTAGAAGCCGGCATTGCACTCCCAGGGACACTTGCTGTCCGCATATTGGCTGGGGCTGGAAGGAAGAGCATAGCTGGCGTTGGCAGGGATGGGGTTGGAGCAGGGGTAGCAGTAAGAGCCGGAGAGGTAGAACCCGGGAGCACAGAAGAGCGACATGAGAAGAATGTCGCTGCACGTGTTCCAAGATCGATACATACCGTCATATCCGATCAGTGAGTTGGATCCCCATCTATATGGGTAGTTACAGCATTGACAGCTGCTGGTGTACCAGATAGAGCTGTCGGATAGCTGGAGGTAACATACTCCCCACCGCTGAGTCGCGATCGCCATCTGACTGTCCCAGGTGTTCGCAGCTATCGCCCAGCCGTCAGGGATGCTGCTGAAGGTCAATGGTGTGTTGCACTGGTAAGGTTCGTCAGGCCGGTGGCCTTGTAGGGTGGTGTAGTATCGGTTGCCGTACTGGAACATCTCGCACTTGCTGGCGTTGACATTGCTCCCTCCCCCCTGAGATTGATAGTGACCGAAGTCACACGCCCAGCCGCATGCCGTCCCGTTGCTGCCCTCCCGCAGCCAGTGAGCCGCCCGCGGCTTCCTGCCCTCGCACGCGACGCACTGACCGTCCTTGAGGAGGTAGCCCGCGCTGCATCGCCACCCGCACTCTGTCCACGACCCGTTGACCCCTCCCGGCCCGTACGCTACGTACTCCGCGTGCTCCGGCGCCGTCTCGCACGCCTGACACGCCTCGCCTCGTCGCGTGTAGCCGGGCTCGCAGGCCCACGGGCAGACGCTGTCGGCGTAGCGGCTGGGGTCCTGCTGGGCGACGTAGAGGGCATGAGGGGGGATGGGGTTAGAGCAGTTGCCGCAGCTCGAGTCGTTACGGAGGTAGTAGCCCGCCGCGCAGTACTGCGACACGAGCAGGATCGACCCGCACGATTCTGACGACCTGTACATGCCGTCGTATGACACCAGCGAGTAGCAGCAGGTAGACTGAGGCGACGACGACGAATAACACCGAGAGCTGTACCAGGTAGTGCTGTCAGACATCATTAGGGTGCAGGAGCGCCAAGGGTACATCCACGCTGTCATGCGGCTGTCCCAGGTGTTCGCAGCTATCGCCCAGCCTGCCGGGATCGCCTTCAGCCCTTGATTGCAGTTGTAGTAGTAGTAGTAGTAGTCACTATTTTCCCAGTTCCATGGGGGAGAGCCGTCGAGGGCGGCGTAGTATCGGTTGCCGTACGAGCGCAGCGGCAGACAGTCTCCGTCTGCCGACGCGAAGTAGCCGAAGTCGCACGCCCAGCCGCATGCCGTCCCGCTGCTGCCCTCCCGCAGCCAGTGAGCCGCCCGCGGCTTCCTGTCCTCGCACGCGACGCACTGACCGTCCTTGAGGAGGTAGCCCGCGCTGCATCGCCATTGGCACTCGTACTCGATTTCGTGTCTCATCGTCAACTGGACATACTCAGCATGGGCTGGCAGCGTCGCTCGGTCACAAGCTACACAATGATCGGCTTGCTGCTTGTAGCCGGCGTTACACACATATGCACAGGTGGAGATGAGCTGGTTGTCTGCTGCTATAAGACTGCCATATGACGAGTTGGCAGGCAGCGCGTTACTGCAGGGCACACAGCTTGAGCCGCTCTTGAGATATCCCGGGGCACATTCAGTAGACCTCAGCAGAACTCCCTTGTCACAACCATTTGCCTTGTACATGCCGTTGTAGGAGCTCAGATATCCCCAGCAGCATTGCTGCGGACTGGTAGAGCTAGTGCTGCGAGCTGTGTACCACAGAGAGCCATCTGAAAACACCAAGTAGTTCGATCCCCAGGTGAAGTACCAAGTGACGTACTGACTGTCTTGGTCGTTGGGGGCGAGCTCCCATCCTGCCGGTACCGGCAAGTACGGATCGTCACGGCAGGTGTAGGGGTCGTTGGGAGCTCTGCCGCTCAGAGTCGTGTAGTATCTTCCGGCGTACTTGGTCCCGACGCACCTTCCGTTGCTCCTCACATACCCGAACCGACATGACCACTCGCACTGCCTCCCGCTGACTTCGCCTGCTGTGAAGTAGGCGAACTCTGGCAGACTCGTCTCGCAGGCTTTGCATGCCCCGTCTTGGAGGTAGTAGCCTGCATGGCACGTCCAGCTGCAGCTCTCTCCGGGCTCGCTCGTGGTGTACACAGCATTGGGAGGGGCTACCGAGCAGGCGACACAAGAGCTCCCGTAAGCATCCCTGTAATAGCCGGCGTCGCATCGCCAGTCGCAATTGTTCTTGTTTGCAGGCGAGCCGCTGCTGTTGTAGGTGGCGTGATTAGGCTTGTAGCTGCTGCACGGAATGCAGCGGGTCATGTTGGAGGGATCCCTGTAGTAGCCCGCGAGACAGTCCTCTGCTACCACCAGCACCGTCCCACAGCTGTCTCTTGACACGAACATCCCGTCGTAGCTGTACAGTCGCGACGTACAGCACATGCCTCCGTATCCTGTGTTCCATGCCGTCCCGTCCTCCAGCACGACATTGCTGGCCCCCCACGGGTACTGAGATACCACAGAGATGCTGTCGCCTGTGTTGGGCGCTATCATCCACCCCTCCGGCAGAGCTCTCGCTACCTCCCAGCTGCAGGTCGAGCTGTCGTAGGGAGCCCTCCCTCCCAAGCTCGCATAGCGCTGTCCGTTGTATCCTACGGTGATGTCGTCGCAAGAGCTGCTCCCGCTCTGACGATAACCAAAGTCGCACGCCCACGAGCAGCCTGACCCCTCCCAGTGAGCATTGGGAGGCAGCGAAGACGCGCAGGCCTCGCATCGCCATCCGTCGACCTCGCGGTAGCCCGGCAAGCAGCTCCAAGCACAGCTGTCTGCCTTGCCCATCAGCCCGCCGCCCACGTAGACGGCAGCAGAAGGCTTGCCCGCACACTTGGAGCACGTCGAGCCTGACGGGTAGAAGCCAACCTGACAGCTCCACCCGCAGCTGCTCGCCTCCTGAGGGTAGGGCGAGAGCACGTACTGTGCGCCGGAAGGGATGGTGTTGGAGCATGGGACACAGCGAGACGCGTTCGTCGATCCGCTTGCAGAGGCTGCAGGAGCGACGGCCATGTAGCCCGATGCGCATACGGGAGCGAGGAGCAGAACTCGAGCTTCGCAATCTGACGAGCGATAGTAAACTCTGTCATACGTCGAGAGATAGCCGCTACTGTAGTACGAGCCCGGGTATTGCCAGTAGTACCAATACCAATAATACCAGTTATCTCCTGACATGACGCTGTTGGTGAAGTAGCTCGAGCTGCTGTCCAGCACAAGCCGAAGAGCTCCCCAGTCGTACTTGGCGGTGACGTTGATGCTGATCTCGTTGTCCGGAGCGATCGACCAGCCCGCAGGCAGCGGCAGGTACTCCTGCCATTCCGACACACAGCTCCACATGGAGTACTGCGACGTAGGACCGTACCCGCCAAGAGTCGAGAACACGTACCCCTCCTCTTCCACTACCTCCTGCCAGGCACAGGAGTCCGCCCCCTCCCCGCGCCCTGCCGACACAAACACAGCGTTGGCCGGCCTCTTGGTGCAGGGCATGCACATGCTCCCTGACTTGTAGAAGCCAACGTCGCACGTCCACCCGCAGAGCTCGTTGGAGTAGCTGGCGTTGCTGGGCTTCCCTTCGCACTCAGCGCAGCTCTCGCCTTTGAGGTGGAACCCGGGTTGGCATATCCAATCGCACGACTGCGATGCCGTAGAGAAGTCGGAGGAGTAGATGGAGTTGGGAGGGATGGAGTTGTTGCACAGCACGCACGGCAAGTCAAGCATCACATACGGCGACGGCACACCAGAGACAAGCAGACGAGCCTCACGGTCGGGCATGGAGAAAGACGTCAAAGTTGACCCCCTGCCGTCGCTCATCATGTACATGGTCGAGAAGTAGGTGTTCTGCAAGCCGATTGCGACCCGCAAGGTGTTGTTGGCAAAGAAAGTCACCTCGAAGATGAGATTCGGATGCCCCGGGAGCCCCGAGGTAGACGAGGTCCCCTCGAACCTCACCACGTATCCCCGCATGTCTCCCTCCCTGGTGGGGGTCCCGACGATCAGCTGGGCTGAAGTGTCTCCAGCTCCGACAAACAGAGTCGGGACGTAAGGATTGCTGGCTGACAGGGAGGTGTAGGTCGACCAGGCTTGTCCGAAGGTCAGGTAGCTATTGGACGATATGTACACCGATGATTGCACGTTGTTGCCTCCCACGCAGAAGGGAAACCCAAGGTCCGGCACTCTCCAGCTCCCGTCATCGACAGAGCTTGGCGAGAGGATGTAGGACCAATTTCTTCCTACCGCCAGGTCTGACTTGAGGTAGGACGTGTTGAGGATCGTCGCATTCGGAGGGCCTTGGAAGTGCGCAGGCGCTGGGTCGGCAGTCGCGGAGTCTCGATACCTCGTGGAGCAGAAGTCTGGGGTCTGACCTTGCGGGCATCCCACGTACACGATCAGTATCCGCATGTTGCAAGACGCCGGCCAGTACAAGCCGTCGCTGCTGCGTAGAGAGGAGCCTCCATTGGAGCAATACCAGCAGTTTGTGCGATAGTATGAGCCGCTTTCGACCAACATGTAATCGGTTCCCCAAGTGTACTGACTGATGACTTCTCTCGATAGCCAGTCATCCGGAGCGATGGCCCAGCCCTTCGGCAGCCGCAAGGCTTGTGTCTGGCAGTCTTCGTTGCTGCTTGTCCTCTCCGACATGTAGTATGTGCCGTCGAGGGTGGCAAACTTTCTGCCGCCGTACATGACGCTAGGAAGATCGTCTCCGCGCCGCTCTCCATCATCCTCGGATATCTGATAAATGTAAGGTCAGCAGCTGATGCTTCAGAGATCGTCATGTTACCACGGAGTTGTCGCGGAGCGAGTACTTGCTGTCCGCAGATCCCACAGATCGCTGGAGGTCGACATGAAGCGCTCTCAAGTGCGCATTTGATGATGCAAGCGAAGTAGAAACTCCTTTGCGATGAGCTCGATCGCCTTGACTCATCGGGCGCAGCTTGTCAGAAGCCGGCATCTTGCTTGAAGAGGAGCGCAGCTGACGGTCAAGAGAGTCCTCCTGAGCGATCAATTGCTGGATCTCCATCAGGCGTGAGGTGATGGGGGACGAGGCAGATCTCTGAGAGGGGCTGGTAGGCTGTTGATGCAGAGCATCGTCTCCTGTGGCTGAAACAGAAGCAGAGACAGAGAAAACAAGAAGGAAAGCGAAAACAATCCCAAGACTCATCAGGCTGATGCGAGCCATGTCGCGAGAAAATTGAGACTGGAAGAAGAGATCGGTCAGAACACAATATATTTGCAGGGCTTTAAAAGCACGATTAAGTCACAAGATAGTGAGAATGGTCGAGTGTTGGCAAGGTTTGCAGTCAAAGAGCTATGATTGCACTGCGAAACATCGGACTAGAGCTGAGATATTCGAAGGGGACAACATGAAGTGAGGAGAGGATGATTCATTTCTAGAGCGATTGAGGAGGAGAGCAAGGAAAGGAAGCATTTGGAGGGCACAGGAGAGCAGAAGCCGGGCAAGGCCATGGCCATGGGGAGCGGGAGGGATCAAGAGGATAAGTGCCAGCGATCAAATAAAGGATACTAGTCGTCTTTGAGTAAAGGAGTGAGTCGTCCACCCCCTTTCCTCTCGAGTTCTGCGTGACTACCCCGACCCTAATTGACTTAGGAAGTACCCCTCCCGTCGAAAGGCAATTAGTCAGCTACACACCCCTGTGATTAATGACCCACCCTAGCAACGCAGACACGCCCGTGATCTTCTCTTCGACCACCGGTCCTGATGTCAACTTTGGTACTCGAGCAGTTGTGGAGCTAGTTGAATGTTCCCTCTTTCCACCCCACCCTGCCCTACCGTACCCTGCCCTACCGTGCCGTACCCACCACCTCAACCGAAAATTGATTTTAGTTCCCCTACCCCTCCTCATGATGCTCAACTCACTTCTATTTGACATCCCTCTTGCTACGTCTCGTGGGCATACCCCTACTATGCCCTCCCACCCTACCCCTGTCTCTCGCTTAATTGCCCATTACTGAGATTCCATGGGGTCGTGACCCTTGTCAGAGTCTTGTCAGTGACCCCCGGCCCATTTTAGAACAGTGTCCTCTGAGTCACTGAAACTCCGGCAGCCCCGGGCCCGGGCTGACTCCGGCAGCCCCGGACTTCGGCGGATCAGAGAGATCGGGCTCATGGCGGGGGTAGAGGTCGCGCGGGCGGGAGGATATGAGCAGGGGGAGATGATGGACTGGGAGGACGGGAACAGACGTTGTCTCGTCAGGTAGACTGATGTTCCTCCTCCTGTATCCCCTCCCATGTCTGCGCTCTCTGGCTCTTTCTCTCTTTCCCACTTGCTTGTCCTCCTCGGACTGCTGTTTGACGCTTGATCCTGGTAAGGTTTCGCCATGGCGAGGAGACATGCTGGATCAATGACAGTTTGATCCGTCTGATACCCGAAGAGCATGATCGCGCTGGGTTCAGTCCGTCTCCCGGGGATGTTGTCGAGGCAGCGTTGCCCGACGAGAATGGGAACTTGAGGTACTGGTGGGAAGGAGTAGTGAACGAGGCAAAAGGAAATTTCTTTGTCGTCGAGTTTCCCCATGAGCGACACTCGAAGAAGAAGGAAGTGGTAGAATTGGATCATCTCAGGCCAACTTACGGACACCCTACGTTGTGCATCGAAAAGAAGATGATCGAATTTCCTCCGAACATGCAAGCCTCCAATGAAAGAGTTGAGAAGTTCCTTGATTCCAAACTCAAGAACGTCATCGGCATTGTAAGCATGCATTGCTTTCTTCCTCCAATCCTTTATTAACTCTCCATTTCTAGAGAGGACTGATGACGTCGAAGCTGGATGTTGAGAACAGACATTTATGCTTGATAGGAACGGTTGTGACTCTGACCTTGCCTTGACGATTTCATATTGACTTCCCTATAGCTTCCTGCAGTGGAGGTTGCCTCAAATCTCGTGGATATAATCTTCACACAAGTATGCTGAAGATGAGACAAGTGGAACTCGATCTGACAGTCTTTCGAGGCCATACACATGAATCTCGTGAACAATGCGCAGAAGAATACAGTGAGTAGCTTCCTGATTGTACATCGTTTGAAGTGAAGGTGTGAACAGGAATTTATCAACGTGGAGAAGAAATATGGTGACCTCGACTTTGCAGTTGCTCTTCGCTGGCTCTGACAAAGGTTGGCAGCATGCGTGAGCTTCCAAGTTGATCCCAGGTACCTGGGGCTCGTGATCGGACCCCAAGGAAGAAACTTGAAACCAGCCAAGGAGATTCAAGGTGAAACAAGTCGGATTGCTCTGCTCATTGTAATGAATGCGCGTGAAGGCATTCAGAGCATCGATGTGTATGCCAACGGACTTGTCAACATCTACGGGGACAATCAGAATGTGTGAATCTTATAGCACTGCTGCTATCTCGGTCTTGGTCTTTCCTGACACTCCTCTGCTTCATACCAGGTGGTGGAAGAAGCTCGGAAGGAGCTGGAGCTGGTGACAGAGAAGTAGGTCGGGTTTGAGAGTTGGAGTGATGTTGATCGATGTGCTCGAAGCATTCCAATCCATCGGAATCAAGTTGGGCTGATCATAGGGAAGGGAGGATCCCAGGTAAGGAAAAGTTCTCCTTTGGATTGAAGAATGTCGATGTGAGGTTGAGATTGTTAGATCATTGAGCTGCAAAAGTTTTCGTCCTCTCGAATGGTCGTCAAGCAGGTTGGACGATCAGCGAATATCCTTGTGTGGGAAATTTTGTTTTATCTTGTTTGCAGGTGGAGGATACTGAAGAAGCATATTACATCCAAATGTTTGGAACTCGGCATTCAATAGAGACGGGGCAGGTGATTTTTCATCGCTTTCAAGCTGCGATAAGGTCAGCTGACGCTATCTTAGGCGCTTGTCAAATATTTGATCTCAACTTTCCAAGAGAAAGAGGAGAAGCAGGTCATTGATTGAAGCTTTCAGACTCTTCTCTCCTCTTCTCTACTGCCTCTTCCATTCCTCTCTCCTTCACCCGTCTCTCCTCTTTTCTCTTCTCCTTCTCTCCCTCCCTTTTCCCTCTCTCCCTCTGTCTGTTTTGCTTCGCTCCCTCCATCTTCATTTGCTCTTGCCCCCTTTCAATCCCGCTTGTTTCCTCGTCTCTGAGTGATTCTCCCCTTTCCAGGCTTTGATATCGAATCTTTCCGACGAGCTGAGAACCATGTCCCATCGCAAGCTCAGACCTGGACGGAGGAGGCAGGAGGGCGTCAATGATGTCGCAAGTTCCCAACAGAACCTTACGCCTTCAACTCAACAACAGCAACAGCAACAGCAACAGCAACAGCAACAGCACCAGCAACAGCACCAGCACCAGCACCAGCACCAGCACCAGCACCAGCACCAGCAGCAGAACTCAACAGAAATCTTTCAAGATGTGCAGGACCCAGCCGAGCTCAGGAAAATGGAGTCAACAGTTATTGCCAGCCACAAACCAGCGGCAGCAGAACCTGTTCCTTCCCAGCGAAGAAGAGTGAGTGAAGAAGAGAACGGTTGGAGAAGTACTGACGAGATTTCAGAGGAGAGATACGTCAGCTACGGAAGACAGCACTTCTTCGAACTCCTCTCCCTTCCTCTCCGACCATGCTCGGCTCGAAACGTGGGGCGCTAGTACACATCAACCGCTCGCCTCTTCCAATTTCTCGACCCCCAGCACCAACGACTCGGACAAAAAGTCGATGGAGGGAGCGACGTCGAGGCTGGTGAGCTCGGGGAGGGACGAGCTCCTGCTAGGGCTCCAGCTCTTCCAGGAGGGTCAACGGAAGGCTGCAATGCAGGGACAGCAGGAGGGGCAGGAGCGTCGAGGTAAGGGAGGAAGAGTTCTCTGAAGTTGCTGAGCCCTGGCAGGTCCTTACCATGTCGGGGAGGAGAAGGAGAGAGCAGCAGATGTGCGGGACTGGAGGTTCAGAGGGCGAGGACGACCTTCTCGTAAGCCTCGCAAGTAGCGGGACGAATGAAACGACTGAAATGAGGAGACCGATGTCTCTCGCTTGCTTCTCCCCGCATCTGAGTTTTGTTTCTTTGCTGCCCAGTAGACATGGCAAGAGTCCTTCTTGCATTGTGGGGGATGAGTTGAAGTCTAATCTAGGATTGATCATGGTCTACAGAGAAGAGTCCTTTCAAGCAGCTTTTGATCGCTAACTGTCGTACCGACGTGTTGCTGCAGCTTCTTTCAAGGTTTTCTTCTAAATCTACATGTTTCTTTCAGCTTCGGCCGATAGATCTGCGATTGTTCTCACCAACACCGAGATACGCGACTGCAGTGATGAAAATTCAGATGATTTCACTTTGAATGGCAACGGCAAACCTGCATATCAGCGCGGACATGTCGTTCTTTGTTGATCTTCCATGTCTTGAAAGCATTCATCAACAAGTTAACTGAGTTCAAAGCTTTCTTCTGCCGACAACTTCAACAGAGCGTGTGTTGCAGCAAAAAAACAAAGTCTTACCTGATACTCGCTGGGAATGTCCATCCTACATGTTTTCAAGGCAGTGTTGAGAACCAACGTCGGAGACTTCTCAATTGTCTTGCTCCGTAACAGCTCCCTCTCTCTCCTCAGTTTCTTCACCATCCACGTGTTGAACGCATGATTGATCAGGAGCTGGTCCTGCATGATCCGGGCGAAGAACTTGAGCCGTTGCTCCCTGCTGAAAGACGTCCACTTGTCCAAGGCTGTCCTGAGCAGCAGAGCTCGTCGTTGTGGTGCTGATAGAATCTCCGCCAAGTTCTCTACGGTCTGTCGGATGGACCTGGTCTTGATGGTGATCCCTTGGAGCCGCAGAAAAGCGCGGAGGAGGGTTTCAATGCGATCGAAGCAAACTCTCCTCTGCCGCACATCTCTTCCTCGCCTCCGCAGCTCGCACCTGTCGGCGAAGCGGCTGAAGTTCCTACGCTTGTCTTGCAGGACCCATCTTGACAAGAAGAACGTCGACAACTTGTCTCTTACATACTCCACCTGTCGGTCGTGCATCAGCAGGATGGTAGACCTTGACCTCAGCTCCCGCCATGAGCGTATGATCTGCCATACAACAAACTCTTGATTGACCCGCATGGCAGCCTTCAACTTGCGCCTTACGTGTAGCGACATTCTTGACAGCATGTTCACTTCGTATCGGAAAGCCATGAAGGCCTTTCGGAGTAACAGTTGCTCCACTGCCACCTCCCGCACTCTTTCACCGATCCTCCGCACTCGCACAGAGAACACTTTGACGTAGAACAAAGTAAATGCAAATCTTAGAATCAACCTGCGGCATGTCCGGTAGTGCTCAACCTTACTTTGTTCCCACTGCTTCTTGAGTTGTATTTCTCTGTCCCTCTTCTTGGTGATGGCAAGGAAGCTAGAAGACTGTAAACTCAAAAGGATCTTGCTCGTTTCTTTTTCCAACAATCCCATTTGCAATCCACCTTCAATCACAACGAATTTGTTGCAGTGCAAGATCTCGAGTCTGCTGGTTTGTAATTCTTTAGAGAGATTGTTATCGACAACAAACTCTTGTGTTTCATCCTTTCTATGCACAAAAACAATAAGATTGTGCAAGTCCTCTGGAAACATTAGAACATTCACCATGTGTTTCGGCAGCTTCAGAAAAGAAGAGATCCTCTCCTCTAATGTTCCGGTTAGTGAGGCATCGAAGGCAGAGATTGGAGGATCAAGTTTGCAATTCAGACAGATTGCTGAGGTAAGTTTCCGAGACCAACCCTCATGACGACTGATGACACCTTGCAACTGAAAGATTTCTTCCTTCAAAACTTGAAACCGATTCTGATAAATCGATTCCTCATGCCATGATGTCCATCGATTGAAAGCTGAATACAGCGAGTGTTGATGCCATTTAGATTGAATGAGACGACAAACCTGCCACTCCCCATAGCTGCGAAAGCAAAAAACCTTCAACATGTCAAAGAAGTATTTTTTGAGCTTGACACAAAATGTTCGAACAGCAATATGAAAGAACAAACGACGAGCCCGATAAAGCAGAAAGTTATTCAGAAAAGCATTCAACACAAAAACAAGTGTTCGTTTGATTGATAGCTGAGCAAGGAAGTGCGATTGCTCCCATTCCTTACGTGACTCAGCCACGCCCTCTACCAGCCGCCGGAAAGCCTCGGCCGTGTGCCCCTGTATCCTCCGTGCTACGCTCTGTCGGGCCAGCTCCTCGAGCCTCTCCGTCCGATGACCCAGCTTGGCGCTCAGCTCCGAGCAAGCTTGCTCGAGCCCTCCTACACGTCTGGCCGCCCTCCCTGTCTCGGCATGGCCCAGCCACAGGTCGAAACCCTGGCTGAGCGCCCAAGCTCGGCGCCGCGCCTCCAGCCTGTCAGCCAGCAGGCACATCCTCCTCCTCCGTACTGCCGCGGCTCTCCAGGTCGCGAAGCTTGCTGCCTGCGTCCTATGCAGCCAGCGGCCCAGCACCCGACCGCACAGCTCGCGAGCTCGCTTCCGCCACGTCACCAGGTCCAAGTAAAAGTCGAAGGCTGCTGCCAGACGCGCGTGTATCATGCGGCGGAGCACTCGCTCGCATAGAGCAAGCTGACGCCTGTCGCGCTGAGCTTGACGGAGCCTCTCGGATCTTGCCTTGTCGGCTTCTTCTGCCCACTTGTCGTATGCCCGCGACGCCAGCCCGGCCTGCCAGCGCTTGACGGCCCTCGTGCAAGCTTGTCTCCTGACGCGTGCGGCGGATGTCGCTGACCGCCAGCGCTCCAGCCCCTGCGACAGGTCTCTGCATCGCATCTTGCCCAAGGCCTTCCGGCAGATCTGACGCGCTCGCCGAGCCCGGCCCGTAGCCGACCTCAGCCCCTCGAACGCCGCTCGCGTCTCGTCGCTCGCGGCTTGACGATCCAGGCGAGCGTGCAACGACTGCTTGAGCGCGTCAAGGTGCTGAGCAAGCTCCTCGCTCCGCCTCTGCTCGCTCTGGAGCTGGCCCTCGAGCCGGCTGACCTCGCGGTCTTGATCCCGCAAGGCTCGATGCTCCGACACGGCGTCAGCGAAGGCTTCGAAGGCTCTCCCGAGACCCGTCAGCTCCCGTCTCGTCTGCGCGCGTCGGTCCAGCGCTCGACGCCTCCGTGACTCAGCCACGCCCTCTACCAGCCGCCGGAAAGCCTCGGCCGTGTGCCCCTGTATCCTCCGTGCTACGCTCTGTCGGGCCAGCTCCTCGAGCCTCTCCGTCCGATGACCCAGCTTGGCGCTCAGCTCCGAGCAAGCTTGCTCGAGCCCTCCTACACGTCTGGCCGCCCTCCCTGTCTCGGCATGGCCCAGCCACAGGTCGAAACCCTGGCTGAGCGCCCAAGCTCGGCGCCGCGCCTCCAGCCTGTCAGCCAGCAGGCACATCCTCCTCCTCCGTACCGCCGCGGCTCTCCAGGTCGCGAAGCTTGCTGCCTGCGTCCTATGCAGCCAGCGGCCCAGCACCCGACCGCACAGCTCGCGAGCTCGCTTCCGCCACGTCACCAGGTCCAAGTAAAAGTCGAAGGCTGCTGCCAGACGCGCGTGTATCATGCGGCGGAGCACTCGCTCGCATAGAGCAAGCTGACGCCTGTCGCGCTGAGCTTGACGGAGCCTCTCGGATCTTGCCTTGTCGGCTTCTTCTGCCCACTTGTCGTATGCCCGCGACGCCAGCCCGGCCTGCCAGCGCTTGACGGCCCTCGTGCAAGCTTGTCTCCTGACGCGTGCGGCGGATGTCGCTGACCGCCAGCGCTCCAGCCCCTGCGACAGGTCTCTGCATCGCATCTTGCCCAAGGCCTTCCGGCAGATCTGACGCGCTCGCCGAGCCCGGCCCGTAGCCGACCTCAGCCCCTCGAACGCCGCTCGCGTCTCGTCGCTCGCGGCTTGACGATCCAGGCGAGCGTGCAACGACTGCTTGAGCGCGTCAAGGTGCTGAGCAAGCTCCTCGCTCCGCCTCTGCTCGCTCTGGAGCTGGCCCTCGAGCCGGCTGACCTCGCGGTCTTGATCCCGCAAGGCTCGATGCTCCGACACGGCGTCAGCGAAGGCTTCGAAGGCTCTCCCGAGACCCGTCAGCTCCCGTCTCGTCTGCGCGCGTCGGTCCAGCGCTCGACGCCTCCGTGACTCAGCCACGCCCTCTACCAGCCGCCGGAAAGCCTCGGCCGTGTGCCCCTGTATCCTCCGTGCTACGCTCTGTCGGGCCAGCTCCTCGAGCCTCTCCGTCCGATGACCCAGCTTGGCGCTCAGCTCCGAGCAAGCTTGCTCGAGCCCTCCTACACGTCTGGCCGCCCTCCCTGTCTCGGCATGGCCCAGCCACAGGTCGAAACCCTGGCTGAGCGCCCAAGCTCGGCGCCGCGCCTCCAGCCTGTCAGCCAGCAGGCACATCCTCCTCCTCCGTACCGCCGCGGCTCTCCAGGTCGCGAAGCTTGCTGCCTGCGTCCTATGCAGCCAGCGGCCCAGCACCCGACCGCACAGCTCGCGAGCTCGCTTCCGCCACGTCACCAGGTCCAAGTAAAAGTCGAAGGCTGCTGCCAGACGCGCGTGTATCATGCGGCGGAGCACTCGCTCGCATAGAGCAAGCTGACGCCTGTCGCGCTGAGCTTGACGGAGCCTCTCGGATCTTGCCTTGTCGGCTTCTTCTGCCCACTTGTCGTATGCCCGCGACGCCAGCCCGGCCTGCCAGCGCTTGACGGCCCTCGTGCAAGCTTGTCTCCTGACGCGTGCGGCGGATGTCGCTGACCGCCAGCGCTCCAGCCCCTGCGACAGGTCTCTGCATCGCATCTTGCCCAAGGCCTTCCGGCAGATCTGACGCGCTCGCCGAGCCCGGCCCGTAGCCGACCTCAGCCCCTCGAACAGGCATATTC